GGGTGTTACATGGAAACCAACTTGACAATAAACTACTTAAAAAAAAAAGATTCAGAACCTTCTAGTACACCCATGTGCTTTCTACTGAATGAACACGTGGCCTGCACACAGAGGCGGGATTCTGACTTCTGACGCTGTTTAGTGGTGCCTGTCATCTGGAACCTTCCACACCTTGTCTTTGACGGTTCCGGGTGCACCAGCACCTGACATGCCACGTCAACGTGGCCACACCTCATGGCCCTTCTGCACTTGAGGGAAGCCTGGGTGGGTTTCGTTCTGGGCTCTTGTGAATGAATATGTTTCCTGACTTTGTTCTGTGGCTCTGGTGGGTGTGCGGCCTGTTTCTCTGGAGCACCTAGGAGTGAGGTCGCAGGGAAGTCAGTTTTCGCTCTCCTAGTCATTTTTCCGTTGGTCCTATTTCCTTAAAGGTTTATATGTGCGGGACCTTCATGTTTTATCTATGTGGCTTTCTACGCCTCTTCTGTATTTTCCAACTTTTTGTCTTTATTTTCTTCAGGTCTTACACTTCGCTAATTTTCTCTTCAGATGGGTCTAATCTGTTAAATTTAGCCATTGAATTTTTAATTTCGATAATTGATTTTTTTTCCTGTTTATCATTGCCATTTGGTTATTTTCCATTGTTTCCAGTTCTCTGCAGTTCTAAATTCTGTCTTTTAAATCTCTGAACATGTCAAATATAGTTATTTTAAAATGTCTGTCTCCAATAATTCTTGCATGCAGATTCATTTTAGATGTTTCTGTTATCTGTTTTGTTATTTTTGTTCTTATCTTGCCCTTTCTTTGCACATTTTTATTTGGGTGCTGGATACCCTGTGTGAAAATGTTAGAATATAAAGCCGTTTCCTGATGAGAGGCAATGAACTAGTGGTACTAACGATCCTGGCCACCCGAATCCAGTCATAGAAATGGAGACTTTATGAGCTTGTGACGGTTGGGTTATTTTAAATTCTTCCCTTACCCTAGGAAGCAGCCTTGTGGTGACCCAGTCCAAAGTGCAGCGTGTTTACCGGGGTCCCTTTGCATCATGGGTTCTGGACTCTTCTCTCTTGCCCTTTATTGTGGGGACTCAGCTGCTCGGCATCCCCCGTTTCTCTTGGGACTGGCATGTGCTTCTAGAGAGGACTGTCCCAGATGCTCTGCACCCCCCTCCCCTGCCCTGGGTGTCCTGATTCTGTCTGCAGCCCTGTGGTTCTTTCTGGCGTGTTTTCTGGTGCTCTCAGGTACCTTACCTTACATGGTTTTGTCTGGTTGGCTTCATTCTTAGTAGGAAGTTTGGTTTGTGTGACCCAATCTGCCACTGCTGGCAGCAGAATTCTGGCCATAATAATTCGTTTAATCAGGGCACTCCGGGGGCTCCGTTGGTTAAGCAACTGACTCTTGATTTTAGTTCAAGTCATGAACTCACAGTTTGTGGGATCCAGCCCCACAGTGGGCTCTGAACGGACATCGTGAAGCCTGTTTGGGATTCTCTTTCTCCATGTCTCTGCCCCTCCCCTGCTCTGTCTCTCTCTGTCTCTCAAAAGTAAAGTAAACATTTAAAAAATTGTTTTGAATTAACACCAGAGTTTAGAGTTTGGTGATGTTAGTCATGTGTTTCTCACTTTTAAGTAAATCATCTTGGAAGATTGAAGCTAGTTCTGAGAAGACTGGTTTACACTTTACACTCTGCTTTTTGTGTGTGAACACAGTTTCAGAATCTTTAGTCATTTTTTTTTAAGCTCCTTTAAGGATACTCTGAGTAGGCAGCATGTATTCACATCTGTGTCTGGAGGCCCATGTGTGTCATGCTTTCTGTCCGTGTGCGGCTGGTGATGGGAAGATCTAAGACACAGCAGATGTCACACACACCTTGTGACTGAGTGATGAGTGAGTTATGACAGTTGAATAAAGCATCAGCTCGGGGCAGCAAATGAGCAGGGGATGGGACGGGTAGTTTCAGAAGAACCAGTTTCCTAACTGTATTTTCTGTGTGCGTTGTTTTTAGATCTCTACGCTTGTCCAAAGGGCCCAAGCGTCTGAGCTCTTACTTGAAGACTTGCAGCAGGGCTTTTCCCAGGCAAAAAGGGATGTTCAGGAACAGATGGTAAGTGAATGTTTCAGTAAACGTTAACTGTGTGACGTATACTCCTTTTTGCTCTGTCTTAAAATCCGCTTTGCTACGATTTTATCTTCCCGGCCAAGTGGCTACACTGTTCTGTTGTCTCAGGCCGAAGCGACATCCAAACACACTCAGAAACAGACACGTAGCTCTTTTGGCAGATCTGCCTTCGTGACCAGACAACATTCTCACCTGGAACTTGCTTTACTTTTCTGCTTTGGGAACCTCAACGGAATGAACTTTGGACTAACGTGCAGTCGTGGGTTCTGCACACGAGCGGGACACCGAGGTCTCCCGCGGCCCTAGCAGGTGGAGCTTTTGAACGTACTATACTTTTCTCAACAGACCATTTCATTAAATCAGTCAGATTCATTTCACAGGCATCCTGACGGCACATGCACCGTAACTGCTATGCTGTGGGGAAGCGTCCAGAAGGCTGTCTGTCCTGAGGGGGTGGGGGGCTGAGAGCTTCTTGAAGAAGGGTTAGCTTGGACCTCTGCCGAGTGGCCCCCCAGATTTGGGCCTCCCTCCTCCCCAGACTGGTTCCAGCCGCTGGGTTCACCCTTTTCCTCCGAGTCAGAGCCTGTGTCTGAGGATGACTCTGGCCGCCTGGAAATGCCCGGTTTCTGATCAGCATTGGGTCAGCATCTGAATGGCCTTTGAGTCGATCCCCAAATTGTGGCCCTGGTCTCTTGAAGACTGTGTCATTCCAGTCACTGACGAGGGGGTTTGAGATCGTTTCCGGTATCGGAGAACCTGAGATCATAGTTGTCGGCCTAGAGATCGCTGGGGCACCAACAAGCGCCCTCCCACGCAGCCTCTGTGCCTCGCTCCTCTCTCAGCTCTTTCTGCCTGTCCTTTACACTCCGCTGCCTTCACAACCACTTTCTGAAAAGTGGGCGCCACATGACGTGAGTGTGTTGTGGGTGACGCTGGAGCAGTGTTCCAGGGTTACCCTCGAAGGTTCTAGTACTGAGAACAGGGTGCTCCATTTCCTGTGCGCCGTCCGAGAAGAGCAGCCACTGTGGCGGTTGGGATCTTGGGGTCCCCCTAACGCCGTGGAGGATTTCAAATTGGAGAGGCTTGCAGACTGAACCCTTCTTGAACCTTCAGTTAGATTTGCCAGTTGTTAATATTTTGCCACGTTTTCACAGTGTGGCAGTGGATGTTGGTCTCTCTCTCCCACACACGTGTCCGTGTTTCCTGAGCCACTAGAAGCGGCTGCCGGCATCATGGCGCTGCCAGACGCGTCCACACACTCTTCCCAGCACAGACAGAGCACGAGGTGGTTTTCCGCGGGGGCTCCAGTGTCTTTCTTGGCCTTTTCGATGGAGGAGGCAGTCCAGGGCGTCTTGTCACACTGTCCCCCTCGTCGTCGTCATTGTCTGGCGTTAATGGTTATTATTGCTTTTGAAGGATCCAGACCAGCTGTCTGGGAGAATCCTGTGTCCGGCTATTTCCATGTGTTTGGAGTCAGGTTAGATTCTGGCCAAAACAGCCCCTAGATGAACTGATTTGGTGGGAGCTCAGGGCCACGAGGCGCATGTTCGGACGGGTGTCCCATTATTGGCCCTGTTCGGACGGGTGTCCCATTATTGGTGATGTGAAGGTGACGACTTGGTCAGGGTGGGGACAGAATTGTTTCAGAAGGATCATTAACAGTGCCACCAACAGCAAAACTATTAAGTGAAATTCAGTTGCTTCATGGGATTTTTTGCTCTTAGACTGTATCCCAGCTAAGGATTTACAGTCTGAGCACTGCGTGTAAAAGTTACTTGTACTAATTTTTTCCTTGTGCTTATCAGTCTGATACTGGGTAGCTCCATTGGTTTCTGTTTGTATTACGTTTTTTGATTCACTTTTCTTGAACATCCAGCACAGCTCACGAGGCAGAACTATAACAAGTGTGTAAATTATTCCGATCTCTTCCATTCTCTAATCTTTTCATCCCGCTCTCACCCCCTCCCTTATAGGGCCATTTTAACTTAGTTTTGCCTTACCCTTCTGTTTTTCTCTCTACGAAAATAAGCAAATATATGCATTTGATTTTTTTTTTTTTTATTTCTCTGAGAGAGAGAGACAGCGTGAGCAGGGGAGGGTCAGAGAGAGAGGGAGACACAGAATTGGAAGCAGGCTCCAGGCTCTGAGCTGTCAGCACAGAGCCCAATGCAGGGCTCGAACCTACGAACTGTGATATCATGACCTGAGCCGAAATCGGACACTTAACCGACTAAGCCCCCCAGGCGCCCTCTATGCATTTGATTGCTTCCCTCCTTTCAAACCCCAGTGACAGGGGGACACAGGTGTTTTACTGTAAATTGGCTAAAAGAGTCTGGAGCACAATGGATTCTGGTCTGAAGTCGGAGCCAGGAAAGCCCCCAGGTTCTGCCAGACCTTGCCTGCCGCCGGCAGCCAGTCTGTGGGTGCAGCGCCCCCCCCCATCCTAGCATCCCTGCTGCTCCCCGACTCTGGCAGCACCTGTAGTTCGGCCGGGTCAGGGTCGGTTTACCGAGCTCTGCCTCCAGTGCACCGGGAGCTTCTCCAGGGCACAGTGTGTGTGTCCCCGTGCACAGCAAAACGCCTAGATGGAGGTGCAGCTGCTAGTCAGTGTTGGAGGAGTGAGTGCTCCCCATTTCTACAGCCATTTAAGTGCCTTAGTATTAACAATGAGCAGAAACTAAGTACTTTTCTGGATTTTATCATATACTCAAATGGAGTAACTTATGTTGAGACAAGTCCTCATCAAATACCTAAGATCGCACTACAGGCAGCCCCGGAGCAGTGCCCAGTGTCCCCCTGTCCTGTGCACAGAGCACCCCCCCCCCCCCCCCCCCCCCCCCCCCCCCCCCCCCCCCCCCCCCCCCCCCCCCAGCGCCTGGGCTCTACTAGACCTCCCTGCCCCTGACACATGTGCAGCAGAGGAGGAAGGCAGCGCTCCATCCCCGGGCATGTAGTGAGTATGAGCCGGGACAGTTGTGCTGTGGCCTGAGACCCTGGTCCTCCTTCGGGGCCCAGATGTGGGCAGGAGCCTCCCCCACTTTACGCCGCTGGTGGAGACCGTGGAGGGTGGGCCCAGAGGCTTCCCTCGCCGCCTGTGTACCCGTGTGGGGACTGCACGTCACACCCTGGGGTGCTTCTCGTCCGTCCCCAGAGCCTCGCCCTGCCCCCTCCCCCCTCGCCTGTGCACCCAGGCTCACCTGGTCCGTTTCTGTGCAGGCCGTGCTGACGCGGTCCCGGGAGCAGGTTTCCGAGGAGCTGCTGAGGCTGCAGAGGGACAACGACAGTCTGCAGGGGAAGCACAGCCTGCACGTGGCCCTGCAGCAGGCGGAGGACTTCATCCTCCCGGACTCCGTGGAGGTACGTGGCTGCCCGTCCCCTTGCACTTGTGACTTCTGAGTCCTCTCTACACCCACATGAGGCTGGAACCCACAAGCGACTGAGCCTGCCTGGCCCCCCACCGATTCCTTTTAAAAACGGGTTTTACCAAGATACAATTCACATACCAGATAAGTCACCCGTTTAAAGTGTAGTTCAGCAATTTTAGGGTCTCCTGAGGTGACCACAGTCCATTTCAAAACATTTTAACCACCTTCCCTTCATTCTCCCCACCCCTTCCCGTGGCCTTAAGCAGCCTCTAGCCTGTCATCTTCCTGTGACTGGACTCCTGCGGTCTGTGGGTTTGCATGTGGCTTGCACACCACGCTCGACGCCGTGGGGGCTGCAGTGCCGTTCCTCTGGGCGCCAGCGCTCCGCTGTAGGGACACCACGTCCCTGTCTGTGTCGGGCAGGCAGGGCGTTCCCGCACGCGGACGGCTGTGGTGACGGCGCTGTAACATTCGTGTGCACGTTGGGCGTGGATGGACGAGGTTGGGCCCCGGAGCCCATGGTGGCCGTGTGGGAGTGGTCACATCCTCACGGGGGCTCGTCGCCGGTTTTACTCCAGCCGCGCTGGGGGCACCCAGCGGCACCCGCTGTGGATGAGCCGCGCTCCTGTGACTCCTGCCGCCGAGCATCCTTCCTTGTGTTCTTGCCCGTTTGTGTCTCTTCCTTGGAGAAGTGTCTGTTCAGACCTTGGGTTTTACTTTTTTTTTTTTTAAAGTAGGCTCCACGCTGGTGGAGCCCGATGTTGGGCCTGAACTCCCCACCCGGGGATCAAGGCCTGAGCTGAGATCAAGAGTCAGGTGCTTACCTGACTGAGCCCCCCAGGCGCCCCCACTTTTGTTCATTTTTCAATCGGGTTATCTGCTGTTACTGCTGAGCGAGACGGGCTCTACCGAGTCCCGATGCAGGTGCCGCACAGGGCGAATGACACAGAGTCCCGTGCACGCCCCGCTGTTGGCTGAGCCCAACTCGGAGCTGGATACCACGCACTCTGAGATCATGACGGAGCTGAAATCCAGAGTCAGACGTTAGCTGACTGAGCTGCCCAGGTGCCCCCTTGTAACAATAAGTATTTAAAAATCAACTTTATAGAAATTCATAGTTTTGCAAGTTTTCCCTAATCCTGCCCTCCTGATCCAGCCTCTACAGTTTGGACCTCGTTCTTTTTTCATGTTGATCTTAAGATTACTGTTGGGTTTTGTTTTTATTTACTCACCAGGCACCCTGCCCTGTGCCCTCCTGACCCGGTGTCTGTGCAGGGCACTGGTGCGCCTGGGGGCTCATCTGGGCAGAGAAGGTCTGGAGACCTGTGTGCTTGTGCTCACAGCTGCGTCCCCCCTCTGTGGGCAGGGGACCCCCCTTGAATGCCTAGATTTAGGACAGTTTCCAGGAATGGTCCAAGGATGTCACCAGCATGTAAGGATGTGCAGCGTGTAAGGCCTGGTTCTTAGAGCTGCTCCAGGAATAACTCATTGGATGTTTTTCTTACCCTGGTCTTTTCTTTTTTTTTTTTCACTGCTGTTATGAATTTATGTACATCTGGTAGGTACCTTAAAAATCCGAGTGTTTACGTTAGAGTTAGGAAATACTTGGGCTTTTTTAAAGGAGGAAACTAAGTTTAGGGAAACAAAATAAGATTTAAACTGGAAAAATAGCTGGTTGTCTTAGAAAGCTGCTCTTTGCCGTCCGTGCCCCTGGCCTAACGTAGGCTCACGTGAGCACACAAGCAAGTTAACAGACTCGGTCCGCTCTGAGTCCACGGAGCCTGACTGGTTCTCACCCCCCACCTCCCCTCAGACTCGCCCAGCTGACTGTGGAAGCCCTGGCCCTTCAGAGTGACCCCCACACCGTATTACTTTTCCGTGTAGACCGTTTGGAGGGCGAGCCGTGTGGTCTACAGGCATTTTTGGCTGGAAGGGTCTTATTTCTTCACTGTGCTCAATGTGAGCACATGGGACCCCCACCCAAGGGAGCTGGCACCTCGTGCCGGTGGGCGAGCTGTGCGAAACACCTCAGCTTCCAGTCACAGGAAACGTGTAGCCGCCTTCGCCCTCCCATGTCCCCACTAACACAGTGGCACGTGTCCCCGGACGCAGGCGCTGCGGGAGCTGGCCCTCGGCTACCGCGAGAGCATCATCCACGTGCGCACCGCAGCAGAGCACACGGAGGAGAAGCTGAAGGCAGAGATCCTGTTCCTGAAGGAGCAGATCCAGGCGGAGCAGTGTCTGAAGGAGAATCTGGAGGAGACTCTGCAGCTGGAGATCGAAAACTGCAAGGAGGAGCTGGGTGCGGGGACACGGCTCCTGGGGACAGGGCATTGGGGCGGCTCTCAGAATGCAGATGACGGGAAACGCAGAGGGAAGGTGTCGGGCGGGGTTCTCATTCGTCCGGGGCACACCCAGATGTAACCGGGCCTCCCCTGATTTGGGGCGCAGGTGCTGCTCGCTCACAGAGCCCCCACCCTGCACCACACCGTGCACGACACGCTGGGCTCTGCCTGAACTTGAGCTCGAGGGCGTTGAGGGGCGCTAGTGTCCCCGCGATTGGTGTCTGGCTCCTTTCGTGGTCTGGCAGGCAGCTTACGGAGGAAGGGGTGCAGACAAGAAAAACCCGAGCGCAGAACACTCTTAAGTGCTGACGCTTCCCCTCTTCCTTCTAGCTTCCGTTTCCAGCCTAAAAGCTGAACTAGAAAGAATAAAAGTAGAAAAAGGGCAGGTGAGTTTCACGAACTTCAAATCCATCCCGTGGGCAGCCAGCGGGTGGGGGGGGGGATCCACCTTCCTGCCGTGCGGGGCGCCAGCGACAAGCCCCAGTTGGGCAGTGTCTCCGGGTCCCCAGCTCCCGGCGTCCGTGCTTCTGCCGCAGGTGGAGTCGTCGCTGAGGGAGAAGGCGCAGCAGCTGGAGAGCGTCCAGGACACGAGGAGCGCGCTGGAGGAGCAGTTGAGGAGGGAGACGGCTGCTAAGGTGACCCTGCCCTTGACGGCGGAGGGGCGGTCGTGCTAAGAACGTGGAGTCCCATCTCGCTTGGGTGGGAAGAACGTGGCAGCTTAGCGCAGGGCCCCCCGCGAGCCTCCACGGCTCCCCGCTCGCGGAAGGGAGACGAGATGACCTTGCCGGAGGTGGGCCCTGCGCAGCCAGAGGCCCTGCCGTCAGAGCCCTTCCGTGCGCCCGGGTGTCTGCTGCCCACGGGCGTCCAGAGGGAACCGCAGTGCGTGGGGCTGAGCGTGGGGCAGGCTTCTGAGGACGGTCCCCGGAGCCGCGTGGCCGCGCCCCGCGACGCTGCCTCCTGGCAGATGCTGGGCTGTCGTGGTTGATCCCAAAGTTTCTGCCCGTGTTGCTGGGAAAGCTCTAGATCTTAGCAGCAGCTTTTTGCTGATTGATCGGGGTCCCCAGACCGCGAGGGGTGAGGGGGAACCAGAGGGTGGCCATCCTGGGACGCCCGACGGCAAGTGCGTAAGCAGCCGCGCCCGGTGACAGAGCCTGACGGACTCGGGTGGGGTGTGTCCCGCCCCTCCCGCGGGACCCTGCTGTCCCGGGGGCCGCGGGCCTGTGGCTCCTTGGCGCTGATCCTCGCCCCACGCTCGTGTCTGTAGGGCACAGCCGAGCAGCTCCTGTTTGAAGAGAAGAACAAAGCTCAGCGGCTGCAGACGGAACTAGACGTCAGTGAGCAGGTGCAGAGGGACTTTGTGAAGCTGTCTCAGACCCTGCAGGTGAGGCGCTGGCGCCCGTGGGAGGAGGGGTGTGAGCGGACGCAGGCGGAGGACCGGACGCTCCGCTCGCAGACGGGCCTCCCGCGTCGTACCGCTGAGACCCCTCCTGCCGGGCGCGTCCCTACGTTTGGTTTCTCTCTGAGGGCTGTTTCCGTGTCGTGGGCCGAGGTCCCTGACCTATGTGGCTACGTGTCCGCTTCCCTAGTCCCCCGACAGACACCCATAGTGACAGCGTGTTGTCCTGGACTCTAACTGGGTTTTTGTGTTTTCCGCACAGTAACTCGGCTGTGCGGTGTCGGAGCTCGGGGCCCAGCACCTCACGGGGCCTGTTGCTTTGGGGTTTTTGTTTTCTGTTTTATTTTGAGAGACAGCGGGGGAGGGGCAGAGAGAGAATCCCCAGCTGGCTCCACGCTGTCCGCACCGAGCCCAGTGTGGGGCTTGAACCAACAAAGCTGAGAGAGCAAGACCTGAGCAGAGATGGAGTCAGACACTTACGCCGCTGAGTCCCCGGGTGCCCCGAGGGGGTGGTCTTTCGCATGTTCTTGTCCCTGCTGCGCCCTTTCCTCGGGGTGACGGGTCGCAACGAGCTGAGGGCCCGGCCCTGCCAGGCAAGAGGCACGTGCCCTTGACTCGCTGTCGCCCCCAGGTGCAGCTGGAGCGGATCCGGCAAGCCGGCTCCCTGGAGAGGATCCGGGCCATTCTCAACGACACCAAGCTGACGGACATCAACCAGCTCCCGGAGACATGACACCCGCCGCAGGACGTGGCCTGCACCCTGGGTTTTTAACTCCTCTTTAGAGCAACATTAATTATTCTTTAACTCTTAACTGAACAAGTGACAGAACAGGAGGCCAGGAGCGAGGCTCACGCGTGGCGAGGGAAGACTGTGGCGCGGGAGCTGCGAGCAGGCCTTCCAGACGGGGCGACGGACGGGAACGGGATTCCGGGGGTGACAGAGGAAGTGCTGCTGTGGCCCACACGTCCCTGCCTTTAAAGCAACAGCCCAGTTGCGTTTGGAATGAGCTTTGCTGGTCGTAGATCCGGGGATGGGGTGTTTCCCGCTGCGCAGAGCTCGTCAGCCGCCCCGGCCAGCGCACAGGCGTGGCGTTCGCTGTATGAATATTTTATATTAAAATATGAAGGTTGAGAGCAGGCCGTTGGCTCGTGACGGAATCTCCGGGCTCCGGGCGTTTCTTTCCTACCGTCTTCTCTCGCGTCGGAGGGCCGCAAACGCACTGAGGCTCGCGGAGTATGTCCGACGGCGGCGGGCGAGACCCGTTCTCGGGCTGAATCAATCGTGAGAACTCGAACTCAAGGCTGGGCTCTCTCTCTATTGGAAGCTGAGGTTCAAGGAAAAGCAAGCACAAGAGACTGGAAGCACTTTCTCTGCCGCCCGGCTGCATCTCGTGGGCCCGCGGTACCAGGGTTCAGCACGTCTACTCTTGAAAACTGTTTTAGTTTAGTTGTTGGATCAGTGGAAAAATAATATTAATAAAACAAGCTCTGTCTGACATCTAGTATAAACTTACACATGTGCTGGCTTATTTGCAACTCCTGTCGGCGGGCGCACGTAGCTTCCGAAGCGTCCGTACAAACACGGGGACGGCCGGGGTCGACAGACACCTAGTTTGTTTCCCCCCCTCAGTGTAGATCGCGCGCACCCCGGGGGGGCCCGTCCGTGTGGCCGCCGTCACCTGTGTCAGCTTAGATTCCCTTCCTTTGTGGGGAGGGCGTGCACGGCCTCACGAGGGCTGCAGAAAATCTGCCGGCCGCCTGTGGAGCGCCGTGTGGACCGCGGATGGGGTGCCGCGTGAGGCCACCCAGACAGCTCCGTCCACGTGGTTTCGGGGGGGGGGTCGCAGAACCCCAGGGCCCTTGAAGGAATCTTACGGGCATGAAGTGGAGGCGTCTGGCTCAAGGCCACCACCGACTCCTGGCGTAGCGACAACGCTCCTTGACGCGCCAGCCCTGAGCCTCGGGACGTCTGTCTTCCACAGGACGAGATCCGGACTACGCACGTCATCCCGGGGCCACCGCAGTAGTTCCCATCCGTGGACATGCCTTTGAATACGAACTATGCAAACGGTGCCTCGGGCTTGCCACGCGTGAAACAATTAGTTTAAAATCCTCTGTACTTGGTTTAAAGAAAACCTATATCCTCCTTGAACTATAGGGGATTTTAATTCCAAAATGCACGCGCTTTCAGCCCCGGGCTAATTTCAAAGCGTCACAACAGGCACCATCAAGGTGGGTGATTTGTAACCTCCCTGAAGGCAGGCTCGCAGGGAAGTGCTCCGCCCAGAGGCGCCCTGCACACCTGCTGCTGCAGCAGGTGCTGGGCCAGGGACTCCCGGCGCGGCCACGGCCACGGCCACGGCCACGCTGGGAAGGCACAGGCGGACGGTTGGGACTCGCCTGAGGAAAACCTCCTATAAAACCCAAACCGACACTGAAGGTTTTGTTGCACAATCTCTCCCGTAGGACACCGTGACACAGTCCCCGCGGGAAACCCCACTGGGAAACACTGGGTTTCGGGTCTGGTGGGAAAGCGACGGTGACGGTGGGACCAGCCGTGCGGAAGGAGGGAAGGGGAGCCCACGCGTTCCCGCATGGCTCACGTGACCTACCTCCTGTGACCCACCTCACCACGTGGCTGTCACTCGGGCTCAGTCGGTGTGTCTGGGCAGGTCCGGCGTCACCTCTCAGGGCTCCACGTGTCTACCCGAGGACAGAGCTGCGGGGGACGCGCAGGGACTGGGCGCAGACCGGTGTGGCTCCCAAAGGTCATCCCGCAGGCGGAGGCGCTGAGCCGGCCGCGGCCTGTCCACCAGGGCTCCAGGCGGGCTCTCAGTGCACCACGCGTGCAACCGTTCGTACCGAAGGCGCGTCCCGAAGAAAGTATTCAGATTAAGCAGCTGCCGCCTAGTTCACTGCGTGGCCCTTTCCTTTCCTTTCTGCGCTCGCGTTCCTGGCGTCCCCACGTTCAAACACGGCTCTAGTTTTTGCTCAGGTTCGGAGCCGACTCTGCGTGGCCCATGGCGACCAGGTGAGAGCAGCTCAAAGTCTCCGTGCAGTTTTACCGAATCCCAGGCCCTCACGGAACACAATCATGAACTTGGCCTTACGTATAAAGCACGTGCCAGGTTTTAAATAAAAGCATTTATTCAATATTTATAAAACAAGTATGAAAGATCTGGATCACCAAAGTTCATCTAAAACGTCTCTTTATAAATTAGATGCTACCTGTTCGTTTTACAAATGCCCCTGGGCCTTGACCCGTGCCAGCCTCGCTGTGAATGTGCCCGCGGCAGGTCAGAAGGCGACGTGGTGCCGGATGTCGTTAATCTGCTTCACCATCTCTCTGATGTGCTCGCCCCTGCAAGACCGTACAGTCCCTCACTTCCGGGGCCGGGAGCCGCGCACGGGGACTCGATTTCAGCTAGTGACGGGCACATGCGCCGGAAACGCTCCGCCGATCCCCAGCGTGAGGCTTCCGACGCGAGCGCACCCGCCACCCGCCGCCGCACGCTCCCGCTCTGGGCCCGTCCCGAGCTGCTCCCCCCCCAACGCCCTGCGCTCCAGGGCCGTGTGGCCCCGGCTCCTGGCCCGGCCCGTCCAGGAGGAGAGGCAGGCCCGGCGTCCCGCGGAGGGCAGGTACTCACTCCTCCCGCAGGACAGACTGGATGCACTTGCGCTGGTGGGCGCTCAGGGTGATGGTGGCTCGTTGAGGACTCAGCACCTTTTCCATCTTCCGCTGCTGATAGTCCTTTTTCATGGTCACCTTGAGGACCAAACCCACAGGTGTATCAGGCTGCGGTCTGCGCACGCGCTCACGGGCGTGGTGGTCCGTGCGGAGCACCCCGGCCACCGCACGCCCTCGCCCACCGCACGCCCTCGCCCACCTGTTTAATGGCGTTGCCCAGGTGGCGGAGCTGCTCGGGGATCAGCTGCAGCTCTTTCTTCATGTCCCTCTCGCTGTCGGACAGGACGGGGAGCTGGGCGCGGAAGCTGTGCAGGACCGCCTTCATCCTGGGGGGGGGCAGGCGAGCGGCTCAACCCCCACTCCCAGCCGGGGGGCCGACCTGCGCCTCCGAGGCCCAGCGCACCCGCCGCGGCCCGTCTTCGTGAGGCCGTGCGCCCCGGGCGCGGAGCAGCCACAGCGGGGCCCGGGCGCCCCAGCCCGCTGACCTGTTCGTGAGGTCTTCCTGTTTCTCCCTGGCCTCCTCGTACTTGTCGGCCAAGCGCTCTGCCATCTCCCGCAGGCTTTTCCTAACAGCAGAAAACCAAGGGGTTCTGGGGTCCGCCCGACGGGGAAGCCAGGCACACAGCCGTGCGTCTGAGCCCGAACTGTGGCTCCCGCGTTCACGGGGGACTCACCTCTCCTCCCGGCAGTAACTGAGGTCTTCCAGTTGCTTCTTCTTCTGGTCACATAACAACTTGACCCTTTGGGAACAGAAACGCAATGTGACCCGAGGCCGCTGCACGGCGCCGGCTACCGGCCAGGGGCCACGGCCAGGGGCCCGGGCCGCCCCACCTGCGCTGGATCTCCTCCTTGGCCAGGTCTTGCTTGAGGATGTACTGCTCCCGGAACACCTGGGTGGCCCGGCTGAGGAGCTGCAGGCTCTCTTCGGGCGGAGGGGCCGCGTCTTTGTCAGATGACCTGTAAGCAGTTTCAACCGCACGCGGGTTCAGGCCACGGGCCCGGCGTCCCTCCTTTCCGTCCCTCCCGTTCATCCTTCTCCAGCCCCCCCCGCCCCCCTCCGCCCCCCCCTCCCCCCGACAGTCGCACACACTGAAAGGTATGGAACAAAACAGCGGACGACAGGATGAACGGCGATGATGAAAACCGACGGGACCTGTTCTTAAGCCCACACGCCCCGGATCCCGTACTTCAGAAACGCCGGGTTTGCGACACTGCGTTGCAAAATGCTTCTAATGTGCTTTTCAAAGGAATCCGGGGTTTCGGCCAGAATGCGGAGGGGCGACTCTTCCACCACCTTGTCCTCCTGGGTACACAGCAGGGGAGGGGACACCGGATGGACCGTGCTTCTGCAAAACAGAAGCGAGTCAAACACCATCTACCGCAGAGCCCTCTACCGTGAGGACCCCGGCAAAGCACGAGCCACGTTCACCTGCGCCCTGAGAAGGCGAAAAACTAGAGCAGGACCAGACCGCCTCGTGCCGGCCCTGAGATCACCCGGGGAAGGCTGTCCCCGCGCCACAAGGGCTGCCAGCTATCGAAGCCTTTTCAGACTCGACCTTTTCAAAAAAGAATTTGAATTGACAAACGCCACACACAAATACGAATTCATCAGGGACTCTTTCCGCAGAGGACTGGAGAGCCGTTTGTAAGCCGGAGCTGCAAACGTACGTAAATAACTCCCTTCCGAGGTGTAATTTCAGATTTGGCCAGAAAGCCACTGTATGTACTGTATTTGCTCTGATGACCTTGATCCTAAAAATCAGATTCACTTGAATAGTACAGATCCTCACAGCGGCCATTTCGGAGCAGCTGCGCCCTGGACGCCGGAGAGCACGGGACGGGAGCACTATGGACACAACGTGGTCCCGGGGGGCCTGGCACGCTGTGGTTTTCCCCTCAGGCTTCGTGGTCTCTTCTGAAGGGGCCCAGCGTGACCGGCTATCACTGGATTAGCAAACGTGCCAAGGTAACAGACGAAAAGGTGAATTTTTCCCCACTTTGGACTTGCTAGTTTTTAGTCCTGGTACACAAACAAAATCGATAATGAATTCTTTTCCTTTCCTGATGGCCTGACTGGTCAGTATCCAGAGACTGTGGAAATTCCTCCCAGGACGTCAAGTGATGCCGGTGTTCTCAACCAGGTCCGCGCGCGGAAGCCCGTGCTCTGCGCCAACACCGGGCAACCGGGGGAGCCAAGTAGCCGACACTCCGGTGGCCCCGCCGGACTCCTGCTCCCGCACTTATGACCCCTGGGTGACCGTCAGGGCCACCCAGCAGAAAATGGCGCCTGTAGCTTCGCGGAAGCTCCTCGAGGGGAAGGATTAGTAGCCCCCTCCCGCCCCCTCCCGGGTTTACTGCTCCCTGCTGTTGCTCCGAGCCTGGCAGGGATGGGCAACTAGGGTGACTGTGGACTCTGGGCTCAGAAGGCCACAGTCCTGTGGCCCCGGTGGTGACCCGAGCACGCCTCCCAGGCTGGCTTCCCCTTCTACCGGACGGAGGACGGTGCCGTCCTTACGCGGTGGCTCAGGCCACCCCGGAGCCGGGCGCAGGGCCGGCGTGGATGTCGTTTCCACTAAGTCGCGGGAACTGCGGAGCTCGCTACTTTACTGCTCTTTTCCACTTGGAACTAAAGCTCCTGACTCTAGTGCCTAAAATGAGTCCTTCGACAAGTGGCAGCGACAACAAAAACCTCCACCCCTTGCCTGCAGAGCGTGAGCCACGCGCGTGGGCCGCGAGGACAGACTCACAACAAAGGCCGGATGAGGCATTCGTAGCCGCCGGTGATGCAGATCATCGTGGGCCCCAGGATGTCCGGGACGATCCAGAACCCTCGGACCGGTGCCGGCCGCCTGGAACGACACAGCCGCGGCTGCCTTACTAGGACGCAGGGACCCGGAAACAGGGTTAAAGGCCCAGAGGCTGCCAACCCCCCGACAGTTCTCACCCATCAACAGGCAGCTCCCTGCCCGCTGCCCAGGCCCAGCCGTCTGCCCCGCACAGCCGCGGCCCTGCACTCGGGTCCCACGCTTCACCTACCGTCTCCAGCGCTGTCCCTGCCTCGTGGAGGAGGGCAGACCTGGGACTCGCAGGGACAGACTGCGGCCCAGCCCCAAAGATCTCCCCGCTCCCCTGCCCCAGGTGGCAGTGTTTGCACAGCACCCCTCCACCTTTCTGGGGAGGGGAAGTGGGGAGGGGTCTCGAGTTAACAGTGTTTTCGGCGTTAGATCCGCAGAAGCAGGAGTGCAGACCGCTCCCGGCCACAGCGGCCCCCATGTGACCTCCCTGCTCACAAGGCGACCCCCCCCCCCCAAACTGCGGCAATGGCCATTCCAGCCCTGACGGCGCGCACGGATTTCCTGTCTAGGGACTCGCTCCGAAGCAGCTGTTACTCTCACCCGTTTGAGGACCGCGCACGGATGGGGTTCTGTCATCCACTTCACCCGTCTGCCTTCCAACCCAGTGCCGCCCTCCCCGTCCCCAAAGGTGCCCCCGGGAGTCCCCGTGCTGCCATCCGGGCTCTCCGACGCCCTCCTCCCGGGTCAGCCCCAGTCCCCTCTGCACCCGGCTCCTGCAGACTGTCGGCCCTGCTCTCCTCCCCTGCGCCCTCCCCCGGGCTGGCCACGCGGACGCCCTGCAGGAACGGACCCTCCACGTGCTCCTGTCCACGTCTCTCCAGGTCCACCCTTCCCCACGGGGCCCAGCCGTCACAGGGCACCATGTGGATGCAGGTATCCCACACAGGCACGTGGCCGTCACTGTAGTCTTCCTTTTCCTCTGCTCACTGAACGTGTGGCCGTCAGTCTGTCACCGTGACGCATGCAGACTCGGGCTCTGCCCTGACCGACCTCACATTCCCCAGACGCGGACTGGGACCTCAATACGCACGGCACAGAAAAGCTGCCTCTGAAGACGGGACGTGAAGTCAGGGTCACAGCCCGCCCGGCAACGGCAGCAAGCCTGGGTGGCAGCGGGGGCGAGCGGCGGGGGGGGGGGGGGGGGGGGGGGGGGGGGGGGGGGGGGGGGCAGGTCCTCACCTGCAGGGCAGCGGCTTCGTGCACAGGATGTGCTCCACGAAGCACCTCTGTTCGGCAGCGAGCTCCTGGAGGCCGTCCTTGTCCTCTTCGTCTGCAAGGACGCACACACAGGTGACTGACGCGCGGACACACGTCTGCAGGTTAAATGCAGCAAAGGCCTCGTCCCAGCCCCCGTCCCGCACCGCCGCTCCCACAGCACTGCACCTTCCTGCCACACACACCTCCTTCCCACGGCTGGGGGGCTAGGGGGTGGGGGACTTGGCTTCGGCCGAGGCGGGGAGTGCATTTTCCTCGTCAGCCAGGCGCCCCGAGGGGAGCACTCCCGTCCAGTCCTCGCCCACACCCGTGGGCCGTTTGAAATGTACTTCACAATACATAGAACCCATCCATTTAAAGGGTGTGATTCCACGGGTTTGTAGTGTATTATAAGTGTACAGCCACGGCCATGGAAATTTCAGAATCTCTCGCTACCCAGAAGGGCTGGCCCGGCAGCCACCACCAATCTGCTTTCTGGCTCTGCGGACCCGCCCACCCTGCACATGTCATGCGTCACATGTGTCCTTGTTTGGGCCTGGCTGCCTCCACTCAACATTTTCGGGCTCATCTGTGCCACACGTCCCGCCTTCCTAGTGTTAAACGATGCGCCGTTGGACGGATAGATTTGTGTCCTCACGGGGTAATGGGTACTTGGCCATCTGGCCCCTATGAGTAGTGCTGCTGTGAACATTGTCTACAAGTGTGTGCATGGACATACATGCCCACTTCTCATGGGTGTGCACAGGGCAGAGGTCCGGCTGTAACCAAAGGTCTGACCATCTGAGGAATCGCCAGACCATTTTCCCAAAGGGCTGCACCACCTTACATTTCCATAAACGCTGCACTGACAACACTGGTTACTGTCATTTTTTATTTTAGCCATTTTAATGGGTGAAGTGGTTTTGTGGTATCTCACTTCACGACCAATGACAGCGAACACATTTTCGTGGGCTTAATGATCTGTACCTCATCAAAGGAACAGGATCTATTCAAATCCTTTGTCCGTTTTTCAAATTGGGCTCTCTATCTTATTAAGTTCTAAGAGTTCTTCTGTATTCTAGATCAGGTCCATTTGCAATACTCACTCCTGTTCCACTTTGTACTTTTGTAAGCACGCTTTCTTCTGAGAGCTCTACAGGTTTAGGCCTTGTGTTTTAGGTCTCTGATCCATTTTGAGTCATTTTTGTGTTATGGTGTGAGGCAGGGCTCCAATTTCATTCCTGTGCATGTACATGTACCCTGGTATACCGCTTAAGACTTCTTTTCCCGCTGATCTGTCCTGGTGCTTGTGTGGACACCAACTGGACTCCCGGTTTGAAACATGGAAGTGTGGGTCCCAACTTTGTTCCTGTTTATCCAGACTGTTTTGGGCACTCCAGATCTGTAGAATCCCAAGCGAATTTTAGGATTGGCTTGTCGATCTGTGCAAAGCCAGCTGGAATTCTGACACGGATGGTACTGGAATCTGCACATCGATTTGGGGGGGTGGAGGGGTGGATTGCCCTTTCACAGTATTAAGTTTTCTGATCCATGAACATGGGATGTTTTTTATCTAGTTAGGCCTCTTATTTCTTTCAGTAACATTTTGCGGTTTTAAAAGTGTATGTTTCACAGTTTTGTCAAAGTATGTTCTGTGTTTTGATGCTATTACAAATGGGATTGTTTCCTTAATTTTACCTTTTGGATTAGTTATTGCTAGTGCACAGACACAGAACAGACAGTTGTATATGGCTCCTGGGTTCTGCAAGCTCTATGGAATCATTTATTAGTATAAATACTTTCCTAATAGACGTCCTATGATTTACTACGCAAAAGATCATGTTTTCAGAAAAGAGAGTTTTAGCTCTTCCTAATCTTGATGCCTTTTTCCTCACCTCCATCACAACACTGGACACAAGCAGCAAGAGTGATGTCCTCTCGCCTCAGATCTTTGGGGAACGTGTGGAAAGCAGATGTGTAAACAATTCAACTGGACATTCAGCTGAGATTTCCAAGCAAAACCCTGGCTATGTAACTTGGTTCCTTTGTGCTAATTACAGTAAAATCTAAGAAAAAACAGAACTGGGTTTTTACAAACACCCCAAAGATTTAATGATTTAGGAAATTCTCAACCTATCTAGCAAAAACCTATTTAGCAAGAAATGCTAAAATTAATAGATTATTCATTAGGAAATCATGTGGTAGAGGAAAAAGCCATTGGTGCATTTCATACCTCAGAAGGACCAAACGGTCAGAATGTCCAGTCACACAAGGGCTCTCTGGAGAGATCAGGAGTGTGACTTTGATCCTGTGGCCACGTGAGCAGAACCCAAATAGAGACAGGATCCCCCAGGAAAGGCCTATGGGTGAACTGACTTCTTCCGATATACACAGGAGACCAGAAAGTTCTTGAGAACTTGTAGCCATGGAAACACTGCTGCCTTGGACTGAAAGGGTCATGATGATGAGGAGAAAAGGCTGTTCCACCCCCAGTTCCGAAGGCAGAAAACTGGTGATGAACCTCTCAGCTATAGCTAAGTGCTACCTTTCTGGAAAAGATAAAGGTTTACACACAGGGCAGCACTGCAAGCGCAGGGATCATCCCTAGGCTTCAAAACCTACCAGAATTTAGTTGTGAAACTGCTTAGGATGCATGGTTGCGGTCTCCCATTTTCTCCCTTTCTGACCTGCAGTGTGGAAACGATACGTACGCCCATCCCACCACTGCGGTCTGGGAACAGAGGATCTGTTTTCTAATTTCAAGGTCTGGGGAAAGGAATTCCGCCCAAGAGAGAATCTACTCAGAGTCTTTACAGATCCGAGTTGGATGATGTATGAGATTCAGGTGGGACTGGGGACCTGCGAGCTCCTGAGATGGAGAGGGGATGCTGACGTCTCCGTTGATACAACAATGCTACAGTCCATATATTTGGCACGTGGGTCAGATGTAAATCTTTGGAGGCCACAGGGTGCAACAAACTAGTATCCAAACCCCAGAACCTGTAACTTGTCAGGCTGCAGGCAGAGGAAGAGGTTGCAGATGGACTGAGAGATGCTCGTTGAGGTCTCGGAGATAGAATATTCTGGATTATGTGGGTGGGCCCCATGCTGTGACAAAGGTTCCTTAGAAGGGAAAGAGGGAAGCAGAAAAGGAGAGGACAACTCAACTGCCACCACTCTGAAGCCACAGGAAGGGGGCTCCGAGTAAGGGGAGGCTGGGGAGGCCAGGATGTGTAGAACCTCCAGAAAGGGAGGTCAGCCCAGCACTTGTGACCTGAGAGCTCTACCATACGCACCTGCGTCGTTGTGACCCCTAGGTTTGTGGGGATTTATTACACCAGCAAATGCCAGCCACGGAAAACACCTGGGCCCTTTCCCAGTGAACATGGTGCTGGCAGTGGCTCTTCCTAGACGCCCCCGAGCAGTTGGGGAACTTTCCATTCCTTGTTTGCTGAGTGCCGGAAACAGGAAAGGCCGCATCTTCTTAGAGCCCTTTTCCGTCTGCTGAGACGACAATGCGGGCTAGGTCCTTAGCGGGCGCGGCGTGCTGCGTCGCTGGGGTTCTGGATGCTCCCCCCGCCTCCTGTCCCTGGGAGAGACCCCACCTGGCCCTGGGCTACCTTCCTTTTCATAGGTTACTGGGTTCGGTTTGCAAGTATCTTGTTGAGGATTTTTTGCATCTCTACTTGTGACAGGTGTGTGTCTGTGGTTTCCTGTCCTTTCACCTGTCTGGTGTTGGTGTCCGGGGAGCAGTGATCTCAACGAGCGGGTTGAGGGGGTGCTTCCCCTTCCTTCCGTTTTTGGAAGGGTTCGTGAAGAACTGGCTTCTTTAAATGCGACACTTGGAAAGCTTGTTGTTCCCAGGCTTTCTCCTCGGGCAGCTGGTTGCTACTTCAGCCTCTTCCCTAGTTACAGGTCTGTTCTAACGTCCCGGGTTTTGAGCCCATCTCCATAGTCTGTGTCCTTCTAGGAACGTGTCCGTCTCGTCTTGGGGACCTGGGTGGCACGGAGCGGCTCACGGTTCCCTGTCACAACCCTGAACCACCTCCGTGAGGTCAGCGGTAGCGTCTCCTCTCTCGTTCTCAGCAGGACTGAGTCTTCTCTCAGGGTTGCTCTCGCCAAAGGTCTGTCCATCTTGATGTTTTCGAAGGACAATCTTTTAGTTTCATCGACTTTCTCTATTATTTTTCTATTCCAAACTCCTTCTTGACAAAATCTATGAAACGCACCAAAAAACCCAGAGAACTCACCTGACCCAAGAAATTTGTGCAGTTTATGAATCCAAGTTAGCCCAACACTGTGCACACCGGCTTCATGAGTACAGTGGTATCTTGAGGGACACTTGGGATCTGCAAATGGAATCGTGAACGGTATACAGGTCATCGTTAAAAACTGGCCTCCACCCCAGCAGGCCACAAACGCACCTGTCCACGGAAGTGACAGGTGACGGGGCCTTCACACTGTGGGACTACATCAGGGATTTGAAATTTTAAAACTGGAATCAACTTTCAAATATATTTAAAGTATTTTTCAAAGTAACGAACACAACCCAAACGTTACTTCTAACCCTCCCCAGAGGAGGTCAGAACACGAACACTGTGGCCTGTCCGTCCCCTCTGCACGCGTGTTTACAGCTCTCATTCTTCCAGATAAAATGGAGCCTGAGAAAGGTCACAGCATCACTGACCCACGTGGACTGCGCAGGCCAGCTCATGAGCGAGTCAGAGGACCAGCCACAGCGGCAGGCGAAATGTCCCGTCACAGCGTGTCCAGACAGCCAGGAAACGCCAAATCCTACTTGTCCTGATAACGTGGACTTAGAGTCTTTACGTTTAAGTTTGGATAGGATTCTATTTTTCCCCCCTTCAATAAGCTTTCCTGCCAATGTGGGGCTCGAACTCACAACCCTGAAGTCACATGCTCTTCTGACTGAGTCAGCCGGGGTCCCAAGTAATTTATTTCTTTGATAGAATTCTTATTTGGCATTCATTTTTTCATTCATTTCATTCATTCACGAGAGAGAGCGAGCGCGCACGCGTGCACTGGAGGGGGGCAGTGTGGGAAGAGGGAGAGGAGAATCCCAAGCAGGCTCCATGCTCGGCAGAGATCCCAACATGGGGCTCTATCCCACGACCCTGGGATCATGACCTGAGCCAAAATCAAGAGTTAAATACTTAACTGAGCCACTCAGGTGCCCCAACAACCCTGTATATTTATATTAAGAGATATGAGAAACCATTATGGTATTTTAATGAAAATTTCTATACCTTGTTTGAGACTACATGAGACTAAAAGATGAGTTCTGGACACTTAGGAATATTTCTCTCTAGGACTCAGTTCTTTTAAAACGTTACACAACTAAAACAAGATATGGAAATAATTTACACGAGAAAGCTAATTTAAGATGCAACTGTCATCCATAAATCCCTAAATGAAATCTTCCATCTAAGGGCCTCACTTTCTTACTGTTGACTTCATGGTTCGTAAATGTCATAAAGCAGATATTAATACTTCTTTTCTGTTTTATGTGCTGGGGTTCTGTATAAGTAGGCTCTGAAAACAGCATTATGCCATAAAGTTTTGAAACTCCTGGTCTACGGCTTCCTCTCTGAACAATAAAATACTAAAAAGTTTTGTCTGCCCACACTTTAGACTTTCAGGTTCAAATCCTCTCATTAGGTCTACAACTGTTTCAGACGACTTGTCAAAATGTGCCTGAGGTGCTGACAGTAATAGAAAAATCTCAATACTGGGAAGTTAAGAGATATCTGTTATAAAAAGAGGCAACGTTAGCAACTGAAGATAGAATTTGCTAGGCACCCCGTCACATAGTCATTCACTAGTGTTGATAAAAATCTGGGTATGTTTCAATGATCGGAATGTATCCTAAGTACAAATATGAACAGGTCCATTTATTAGTTGCATATATGTGAGAATATTAACTCTCACTGGAAGATAAAAATGCCTACACTTAAGATTTCCCAAAGAGTGGTGCCAAAGGGGTTCAGTAGGTTAAGTGTCTGACTTCGTCTCAGGTCACGATCTCATTTGTGAGTTGGAGCCCCACACCCGGCTCTGTGCTGACAGTGCGAAGCCTGTCTGGGACTCTCTCTCTGCCCCTCCCCAGCTTGCGCACGTATAATGCTCTCTCTCTCTCAAAAAAAAAAAAAAAAAAAAAAGATTGCCCAAAGTCATGTACTTTTATAAGGAAACCAATGAGTTTACATCACTTGCGTCCCTGGGCTCAGGCTCATCTCTAAAGCAGAGTTCTGCGACCACGTGGACTTCATGTCTCTGGACCCAGCGTCATCAGCCGCGCTGGGGGAGCCCGTACGCTGGTCTCCTGCACAGAACTACTGCCTCCGAGCCTACGCTGTACTTGACGAAGCAGAGACGTCAGGCTGCTGCAGACAGAGCCCCTCTCTCCGCCCTGGGCCCAGAGAACCTACAGGAGGTGCCGAGACGCGGTGAGAGGGCAGCAGGGTCACAAGGTCTTGTGTCAGAGGGACCCCAGAGGTCATCTGATGTCACCCCACCCCTTCCGGATGAGGAAACGGACAGCAGAGGGGCCAACCGAGCACCTGCTAACGTCAAAACTACAATCAAAGCCCAGGACGCACCAGGCTCGTTCCGTGTAGCGTCTCAACGACACAAGCTTCGGCCAACACAGCAGCTGCTCAAAAGCTGCCCAGACAGACTGAGATAAGTTGCTGGAAAGATCTGGTACCAACCCACATAAGTTAAAGCAAAAGGAAAAGATAAAGAGGACAACGTTCAAACTGGGTCTGGGCCTAAGACACTGTAACGTGCCCTAAAACAAAGAAAGAGGCTTTATAGAGATATCTTAATATCGGTGAGTTATAATTTGAGTTTTAAAGTACGTTTTAAAGTTTATCAGGGGCGCCTGGGGGGCTCAGTCGGTTAAGCGTCCAACTTCAGCTCAGGTCATGATCTCACGGTTCTTGCGTTCGAGCCCCGCGTCGGGCTCTGTGCTGACAGCTCAAAGCCTGAAGCCTGTTTCAGATTCTGTGTCTCCCTCTCTTCTCTGACCCTCCCCTGCTCATGCTGTCTCTTTCTCTCTCAGAAATAAGTAAAAACTAAACAAACTAATTTTATTTGCACATGCATAGTTGAATCGTGAAGTCAACTTTTGCGTGGACCGGGAAAAATTCACTATTCTGACTCCAGAGGGATGCAGACTGTAGACTACGATCTTAAAAACATGGGAAACGCACCCTGGACCTGAAGCACAGCACAGTGACGAAGCCACGGAGGCCAGCTGGCTTCCCACAGCTGGGCCACCCACCCAGGTGCCTGGGGATGGCCTGTGACCGTCTCCGTGTAAACCGGACGGGACAGGAGTAAATCGGCCAATATGTTACCTCTGTGAAGTTTGATGGGACAAGAGAAGTCAGAATCCAAGGGGTCCTCCTCTCCGGACGCCAGCTTCAGGGCGAGCTCCAGCTCCACACACTCGAACACGTACAGGGAGGGGACGAAGTCGGCCCTGGAGTCCCAGGGCGTCTCGGACTGTAAGAGAACCCGGTAATCTCAGTCTCCATGCTCGTCTGAAAACAATACAACTCAAAACCGAAGAAATTCTCCTTACTCCCACCCCCATTTTACCAGTGCTTTAATATTCTATTTTTTTTTTTTTTTTAAATGTTTTATTTATTTCTACGAGAGAGAGAGAGAGACAGCATGAGCAGGGGAGGGTCAGAGAGAGAGGGAGTCACAGACCGAAACAGGCTCCAGGCTCCGAGCTGGCAGTCAGCACAGAGCCCGACGCGGGGCTCGAACCCACGAACCGCGAGATCGTGACCTAAGCGAAAGTCGGACGCCCAACCGACTAAGCCACCCAGGCGCCCCAAGTGCTTTAATATTCTTAAAAGAGGGAAAAAAGGCTCCCTCTTTTTAGTAAGTCGTAAATCAGGTGTAGGAGAGCCAGTTCAGCGCCTCACAGGCCCTCTGTACCCGCCACTGGAGGCCGCCACCCCAAGCGTGGTGAGCGCGTGGCGAGCGCGTGGGCGCCGGAGCCTCCTACCGTCTTACTACGTGGACTTGCAAGTGGGCCGCACTTACCACTGAGCGTCTGACTCCCCAAGTGCACAGAGTGCAGACGGAGAGACACTCCCTGGCGTCCCGAGCATTCTCACCGGCCCAGGAACCACACGCGGGGATGGGAATGCGGGCGCGGACGCGGCGGGAACCACACGCGGGGACGGGGACGCGGCGGGAACCACACGGGGCCCGACTCACCGTCTGCTCCTCCTCCTCCTCCCCCTCCAGCACGACGCAGTGGTACAGCACGCCCGACTCCGTGGCGATCACCAGGATGTTGGGGACACAGGGCAGGCAGAGCACGGCACACGCGTCGTAGCCGTAGTTGTCCTCTGCCGCGGGGTGCATGGGCAGCGGGCCCAGCAGCTTTCCGACGGTGCCGGGGCTAAGGGAGGACGGAAAACGTATGCAGACACGTGGACGGAAGAGTCCACGCCCCCACTCACGCCCCCACTCACGCAGCTTTTCTGTAGCTGCCGGACCCCCATCAAAAGCACAGCGCCGCGGGGGCGCCTGGGGGGCTCAGTCAGTTGAGTGTCAGACTCTTGATTTCAGCTCCGGTCATGATCTCCAAGTTCATGGGATCGAGCCCCACATCGGGCTCCGCACGGACTGTGCAAAGCCTACTTAGGATTCTCACTCCCCGTCCCACTACCCCACTTTCTCAAAAATAAACATTAAGAGAGAAAAAAAGAAACCCTAAGCTTTAAGAAAAAACAAATAAAAAACCCCATGGTGCCGTGTGCTCCCGATTCTCCACGCGCCCGCTTTCCCTGGACTTTGCCTCTGCAAGGCGTCCCGCGTGGAGAGACTGTGCGCTGGGAGACACTGACAACGTCCGAGGACATGTCTGGTTGTCACGACCAGGGGCACGTGGAGGGAGGGAGCTTACTGGCGTCTAGAACAGAGATGCGGCTCGACACTCCCCCCAGGACGGCCGGGCAGGAGTGAAGAGCAGAACATCACCGTCACCTGCGCAGGGGCTGAGAAGTCCCCCACTCCCACTCTGGCTCGCACTTCTCCCCCGGTGAAGCTGGTCCCTGACAAAGGCCAGCTGCTAAGTCCACAGGCCACGAACATGACGCACTGTGGCCTTCTCTGTGGGCTCACGGCACCTGCAACCCTGCAACATCCCTAACACGTACAACTCTTTCTCCCGGGTTCCTTCGGCCCCTCTCAACAGCCCTCTCGTTTCTGTCTCGTAAACACTGGTGCCCCCAGCGTTTTGTTACAAGCCCTCTTCGCTTCGAAGCGCACACTCACATGAGGGCATGGTGAGCCATGCCTGGCTTTAACGACCACGTACTGCCTGTATTTTCTTCCAAAACAGAGCTGCCTCTCAGGTGCTTGGACACGGTCTTTAGCTGGATTAAAGCAATAGTGACCGAGCGCTGGGTTACCCCCAGGGAGCCGGCATGGTCGGGTAAGCACACGTTACCCAGAAATACCAAGGCATGTGCCGAGTTTGACAATGCAGGGATTTACCAGGTACAAAGAACGAGACATAAGAAAAGTCTCAAAAGTAAGAAAGATCAGGGGCGCCCGGGTGGCTTAGAAGGTTGAACCTGTGACTTTTGATTTTGGCTCACGTCACAATCTAGAGGTCCATCAGGCTCTGTGCTGATAGTGTGGACCCTACTTAGGATTATATCGTCTCTCTCTAACCTCCTCTGCTTGCTCTCTCTCAAAATAAATGAGTAAACATAAAAAAAGAAAAAAAAAGATCAACGTGAAAGCATATCCGGGGAAGGGGTGCTGAACTTTCCAAGCCGAGGAGCAGCTCTGGAAGCACGGAAGACGAGCAGCAGGAAGGACACAGCTTTGCTAAGACAACAGAGGAGTAGCCGGCAGCCCTCAGGACAGGCTGAGGGAGCGGGGGCTGAGTCTTCCTGCCAGGCGACAGCGTCATCAGAGGCGCACGTGAAGGGTGACGGAGCTTCACTTTCCTAAGATCAATCTGACAGCAGCTGGGGGGTGACACGGAGGGGACCGAAACGGCGTTCAGGACAACGACTAAGGAGGACAGGGACCTGGGCAGGGGATGAGGGTCTGGAAGCAAGGACAAGGAGGTGGGGAGAAGGGGGTCTGCGCTCAGGGCGTCCTCACGGCGAGAGCCACGGAACGCGGGGCGGGACTGGGCCGGAGAGGCCGTGGAAGGCGACCCGCCGGATGCGGTGCCGACATGGGGGCCGGCGTGGGCGGAGGGAGGCGGCAGCATTACCATGACAGCCGCCTGGAGCGCCGCAAGTTCGGGTGGAGGGGATGCGGCTGAGAGGGAGTCCCCGGGTGCCAGGGCCCCCCCAGCCCCGCACTCACCCTGCCCTCCCGCGCGCCCGAGGCCCCAGACTCACGCCTGCCACTCGCAGGGCCCTGATGTCACGTGGGTCCAGACAGTTCAGAAGTGAATCAAGTACATTAGCCTCTGGCCTGACACCTTTCTGGTTACCAACGTGCCCAGGATCCCCAAACTCTCCTGCCTGTGACCGTCACCAGGACAGGCCATCCTCCTCTGTCCGGTCCCCTATTTCCAACTGTCCACAGACCACTTCCCCTTCATGAGCCCAGTGCTGGGTCACACTGACCATCTATAGTAACAGCCCCCCATTAGCTGGCCTGACCCCCGTGTCTGTCTTCACCGCTCACCCCTCCCCAACCAGGAACGGGGTCTGACCGGCTCTTCCTCCGCGGGAGCGTGTCCACTTCTGCCCTGCTCCAGAACGGCCCCGGTGCCGACCTTGTAGACGGTAGACGGTCAACTAATGTCTCTCGGCTGCAGGCCGTCCCGAACCAACTGCTTTATCCTACAGATTAGGAGCCACCACTGCCCCCCATTCCTACAGGAAAGCCCCCACGTTCCGCACCGTGGGGTTTACCTCCCCCACTTCCCCGGGCAGATGCCTCCAGCTTTCCTGACACCGCTGCTCCAGCCACAAGCGCCGTGCCCGAGCCGGAGATGCGCCCTGGGGCTCAAGTGGTCGCGTCCTTCCCTGACCCTCCGTTAACCGTCACCAGACGGCAGTCCCTGCCCACCAAAGTCTCCCTGACGTCCTCGGCCACACCGCACTCTGCTTGCTCTGAGGTCTCTGGTCTGGGAACCGCGAGCGGTTCGGGACGCTGACGCCCGGTCCCCACCGCTAGCCACCCTCCCAGTGCTCGGCCCGCACGAGACGCACAACACTGCTGTGCTCTCGGCTTCCTGAAGACAAACCCAGTCTCCGGCGATTACCCAAGTGCATTACAGAACTGATCCGAATAACACGAGGAAATCAAAGCCAAACGACTGTACCCGTCTTTCCCCAAAATGCGCAAACCAAGAGTCAAGAGGCTGCCACGCGTCCACAAACAGAACCCACGGGCCACAGCCTGGCTGGGACAGTCCGGGCGGGGCACCTGCAGGCTCCACACGCAGCTGGCCTCCCACCCCCACTCACCTGTGCACCAGACTGACGTATGTGAGGAAGGTCTCCCCGTTCTCGTACAAGATGTACAGCGGGTACCCCACTATGTCACCTTTGCCCTTCTGTCCAAACATGGTCTTGGGGACCGCTGACAATGGCCCGAAGTCAAACGCCACTGCTGTCTCGCCCAGAGATGCGGTGTACGCTCTCCTGAAAAGACATTTATTTAAAAAAACATTGTTTTTAACATTTTATTTCTGAGAGAGAGAGAGAGAGAGAGAGACAGTGTGAGCCGGGGAGGGTCAGAGAGAGAGGGAGACACGGAATCCGAAACAGGCTCCAGGCTCCCAGCTGTCAGCACAGAGCCCGACGTGGGGCTCGAACCCACAAACCGTGAGATCATGACCTGAGCCGAAGTCGGACGCTTAACCGACTGAGCCAACCAGGCGCCCCTGAAAATACATTTAAAAATCAACGTGTTGAAACCAAGAATGAGAACAGAATGTCTGATAACAGGAGGTGGGGATGCAGTTAGTATTCGATGGAGAACGCAAAACAGAGCACAATTAAATGACAGAAACATAAAATTACACCACGCTCCCTCGCTCTCAACAGTTTAAACGTACACATGCAGACAGGACAAATATACACAGACACACGAACGCAAAGAGAAACAGGAAGCAAACGCTGCGCAGAGGGACACATCTGCCCCACACGTTATTTCTTACACACTGGTCCTGTGCCCCGCGCTGTGCACTATCGTAGGTGCAAGGGACACGCCAGTGACTTCAACCAAGGCCCCGCCCTCCAGTCAGACGCGCAGGGCACAGAAAGGAACGTGTGGCACACAGTCAGAAAATGACGTCATCAGGAAGAGAGACGTCAGGAGGCGCTGCTGTAGGTGCTGCCTCGGGCTGGGCTGTCCGGTAAGGACCCTGACGCGGTGACATCAGAGCACGGATTCGAAGGAAGGAGGGGAGTGAGTCGGCAGCCACATAGGAAAGGGGTGGATGTTGTCTGAGGAACAAATGGTGAAGAGGCCGAGCTCACAGCCAGGGCGCAGAAGAAGGAAGAAGCTGGAGGGGGCAGCCTGTGGGCCGCGGTCAAGAATAAAGCAAAATGAGGGGCGCGGTCGGGTGTCCAACTTCGGCTCAGTCATGATCTCATAGTTTGAGCCCCGCGTCGGGCTCTGTGCTGACAGCTCGGAGCCTGGAGCCCCTTCAGATTCTGTGTCTCCTCTCTCCGCCCCTCCCCTGCTAATATTGTGTCTCTCTCTCAAAACTAATTAAACATTAAAAACATTTATTTTTTTAATGTTTATTATTGATACAGAGAGAAACAGAGCATATATGAGGGGCAGAGAGAGAAAGGGAGACACAGAATCTGAAGCAGCTCCAGGCTCTGAGCTGTCAGCACAGAGCCCAATGTGGGGCTTGAACCCACAAACTGTGAGATCATGACCTGAGCTGAAGTCGGACGCTTAACTGACTGGGCCAACCAAGCGCCCCTAAGAAATTTTTTTAAAAAGTAAAAAAAATAAAAAGAATAGAACAGAACGACCTACTTTATACCCAGAGTGTCGCTCTAGTGTCACATTAAGGAGAAACTATAGGAATTCACAAAAGATTTTCTCTTCTTAATATTTTTCAGTAGGTTTTCCCAATTTTCTAAAATACATATTACCGTTGGAACCAGGAAAAACAAGTGATGAAATGTGCGTCTCTGTAAAGTTCAGCATAACGGGTTACCCGGGAAGCCTCCGGTTCAACACGGGGTTAACCCACACAGGGAGAAGAACACAGCGTTAGTTCACACAGGGTCGGGGGGGCACAGGTCCACACAGTTTGAGGAGCCACACCCCTCCGCTCTGCTGCAAACGTTGTGTGTTAGTTTCTTTATCACACGGAAAGGTATATGGTGTCAGGAGGCAGAAAAAAAATGAGGAAGCCCAAAATCAGAATAAAAGCATAGCCTGCGTTCACCTAAATGATCAAGACAATGAAGGGACAAAAGACACGGAAATCAGAGAGACAGTGACCCCTGATGGTCAAAAGTTACCCGGAGCCTAATAAACGAGGCGTTATTTCCCATGGGGACAGTAGGAGCGATTAGCGAGTCCCGACTCCGGGCCAGGACCCACGCTGTGCACTTCTATGCGCCTCCCTGTCCATCCCGTACAGACTCCCAACAGAAAAGCACCACAATTCTTATGGTCACAGAATACAGTCACAGAAAAGCGCTCGGTGCCGCTGAACGGCTGGCGTGCGCCACAGCGATCACACCGCCCGCGTGCGTGGCCCCACTGCCTCCTGCCCATGCAGCAGGTCTGCACTGGGTCTGGGAACAGAGACTGAGAAGCTGGGGAAGGTGCCCCGGGGCCTCCGGGGGAGGGAGGGGAACCTGTCGACCCCCAGAGGCTGGTGATTGCCCCGCAGGGACGGACACACTGGAATTTAAGAAGCGGGTGCCCGGCACGGACATCACTGAGCTGAAACGCTCATTCTGAGACTCTCCCAGGAGCTAAACTGGGACACCCAGGAGGCGCGGGGGAGAGTCCTCCCGGGATGAGCACACCACTCGGGCTCTCCGTGTTCCCAAACCCGAGGATCAAATAAACTCGGGCTCACAGTCCAAGATCAGCGACCGCAGGAGAAAGCCGGGCTGGCGGGCCGGGAGCAAGGGCCATCCAGACTCGGCGCCCCCACCCCGTCCCACCGCGCTGCTCAAATACCCAACAGCTACAGGCAGAGGAAGAAGGGTTAGAGAGACAGGAACAGACACGACTAGTAGCGGCGACCACCACGGAGATGTGAGAAGAACCAAATGGAACTTCTAAAAATACAGCCACTAAAGCTTCACCCCACATGCATGTGCCGCGGGTGTCCCGCGCAGTCATCACCGGAAGGACTGGTCCGGAGGCCAGAGGAATGGGGTTTGTGAGTTCCAGGGGTGACTGTTCACAGTCGGAGGGCCTGGACCATGTGGCCCTGCAGGGCGAGGAAACCTAAGAGCCACGGTCACCGGAGTCTGAAGGGCTCCCTCCTCCTGGCAGCTTCTGGGTGTGGACAGTCTGGGAGGCGGGCAGGTGACGCTGTCACCTTGAACCCCTGTCGTGGCATAGCTTTCGGGCTCCTTCAGGATACGGGAGGGAACCCACTCCAGGCGCTGTCGTTTTAGAACTTTCTTGAGAAGGGAGCAGCTAGTAGCTGTAGTGACGTTCAGCTTCGTGAAGCTTTGCTACCTCGTCCCGCCGCCCACCGTGCTCACCCCTCAGGTCCCCAGCAGTGTGGTTACCACCGGAAAACATTGCAATCTGTTAAAACTGCACTTATGAGCCCAATAAATGAACTAAAGAAATATTTCATGACACAAATAACTTACCCTTTATTGAGTATCAGACTGTCTTCTTCTGCTTCTGAGAGTACAATGACCTTGGTGGGTGTCTGAGGCTCACGTAGAGAGTAAATCCTGGAGAACAGAAGAGCACAGAGCCCACACTTAAAAGTCTTTCATTTCTTTTTTTAAAAATGCTTAAATTTTTGAGAGAGAGAGAGAGGGAGAGAGAGAGAATCCCAAACAGGCTCCACACTCATCACAGAACCCGATGCAGGGCTTGATCCCCTACCTATGAGATCCTGACCTGAGCCAAAATCAAGAGTCAGATGCTCAATCGACTGAGCCCCTCGGTGCCCTGACAATTCTTTCATCTCACAACTGCCCTTCCCTCCCACCAATCCCTCTGCTGCAGAATCTTCCTACCGGTTTTTATAACCAATTCTCTGCCAAAGGGCTTTCGCATACTGACAAAGTCGCCCACCTCCCCTGTGCCCAGGAGGCCCATGGAAACGCCCTCTCGCCTCAGAACCCTCACGAGCCTGCCGCACACGGCTGTGGGTCTGCAACTCCCCTGGCGTCCTGAGGCTCACTCGCCTCCACCCAGCGCCCCACCCGCCCCAAGCGCGCCAGCACCCCTGCACACACACCACCCGCGTCTGCCCGCCACTCCTCGCCAGACAGCAGCCACATCTCACTCTCCCCTGTACGCCCACCGGCCGCAGAGGGAGGGACGTCTGGACCCAGTGAATACTTGTTGTTATACAAGACCCGGTATCGCGTCATCCCTACCTTCATCAGGGAAAGTATAAAACTAAAAGTGCTTTTTAAAAAGTGTTTTTGCCAAAATCATTTTAATTTAAGGTGACAAAGTCAAAAACACATGTGGCTAGAGTTAAAAGAAGAATTTTCAAAAGGCCGATAACATTATCAGAAGTCCAACACCGCTTGTAAAACGGGTTAATAAGCACTTACCTCCACTGACACCCCCAAGAAGGTTTAAACCCAGTTCGCTCCATTACCATTTAAAATATCATTAAATACCATTTAATAGATGGTCTTAACGAAAATCTGATGCAACCGACCACACATGCGCAGTGGTCTTCCCAGCTGCCCACACGCATCTGACCTCAAAACGCACGCTAACACGAGACGGGACGCACGAGACGGGGAGGCAGCAAAAGGAAGAGCAAGTGCAAGACAGCGTCAAGGGTGCCCTGCGGCCCCGAAACCGTTCACAGGCCCCAGAGCTCAGGGGCAGGGATGTGATCGGTACCCTGTATTCATGTACTTTTTTACAAGTTTATTACGAGGGAGAGTGTGTGCATTAGCAGGGGGAACACAGACTGACTGACTGACAGACCGAAGCAGACTCCATGCTCCATGCAGAGTACGACACGGGGCTCAAATTCACGGACCGTCAGATCATGACCTGAGCCGAAATCAAGAGTCAGACACTTGACCCACTGGGCCGCCCAGGTGCCCAAATACCCCATATTTTAAAAAGAACCTTCCCTACTTGGGGCCAGATACCTCCTTCTGGGCATCACACGAGGAAGGTCGCGCCACCCTCCCGTCCCCAGCCGGTTTCCCAGGAGAGGGGGTCAGGAGCCCTTCCGCGTTCTAGACCAGCTCCGTGAGGGGAGGGAACCCCTCCTTGTCAAGTGAGACAGGCAGGCAGGGAGACACTCGGCCACACTTAGAGGTGCCCTTATGTAGGAAGGGGAGATGCGGGTCTCACTTCCCAGCCGGAGCCGATGAACCACAGGAAGTAAGGCCAGATCGGGGAGTTCTCACGCGAACCTGACACGTCATACCTTAGGGCTGGGACGTGGGCATACCGTATGGTACCTGCTTCCTATACGGAAATTTCTGGAGCTGGGCTGGAACAGCAGGAGGACTGTGGCGCAGATGCCCAGTTCCCTGTGGCCCTTGGAGGGCGGAGGAAAGGACCCTGGCAGGTCCCATGACCCCACAGGAAAGACCCCAATGGTTATACTGAGGGTGCAGGAGACAGCAAGCGTGCAGACAGCCACCGGGAGGGAGGGCCCGGGGACGATCGCTGACAGAGCAACGTGTGCAGAGCCTACCACGTCAACGGAGGTCCCTAGCAGCAGATGGGACTTAACGGGGACGGGGTCAGAGCCACCCCCCTTACAGACAGCCATGTCCCGCAGCTGCCACATTCTTCCTACGCCCTCTACCACGGAGCTGAACCCTGAGGAAGTAGCCCGTCCTTACACGTCACCCCCACCTCAAGGTGCAGGGACAGGACCAAGAGCCACAGCAGACCAGGCCACACCCCCACTCGTTTCAGGTGCCCCAGCCTGGGCCTGTGAGACGCGGATCTGGCATCAGAGTTTCCCGCCGGACAGTCCAATTTTTAGTATCTAAAAGTAACCGGAAAGCTCTGAGATCTAAGAGGCCAGTAAGGGATCAAGCGCTCAGCAGGAAAGGAGGGGCGGTAAGGCCCAGCTGAACACGTGATCAGGAAAAATAAAACCGGAAGGATCTGTACCTCAGCTGGGTCTCCCCAGCAAATGTTCCACATGAGGCAGATCCAGAAAGTTAACTGGTAACATTACGGAAATCTCTGGAGGATCAGAGCATGTGCTCCTAGAGTTCAAAACCTGGAAGGGCATTTAGAAACTGTCATTTTACAAACGAACCTGCTCATCTTACAAAACTGGAATCTGAGGTTCCCCTAAAACCAAGCTTTGGATTTCCAAGACAGAGGCAGCACTGGGACAAGAATTCAAATCCCTCAACTCCCGCTTATATTCTTTTCCCGATGGAACAGGGCCTCCAAGAGTGACAGATGGGAGGGGACACACCAGCAGACCAGGACAGGAGACAAGACGGGCTGGGAGAGCGGTCAGAACACCTGCCCGACAGACAGCTTAAGAGGGCTGTCCCGGGACCCAACTGGCGGCGCCAGAGCCGTCAGCGGATGAGCAGAAACAGAATCTGCGCTCACAAAGCTCCGAGAGAACCAGAGCTTACCTGATGACGTTGTCTGAGGTCAGCAGCACGACGTGGGGGTCCAGCAGCTCACTCGGGTACCAGGCGGCGTGCTTCAGAGTCAGGGAGGCAGAGCTGGTGAAGAAGCGCTCGGCCACGGGCGTGGTGCTGAAACGAGGACAACGGCTCTCTGAGCCACGTCGCAGCTGGATGGAGGCCTCCTACACGGAAATGCCCTCGTAGCACCTGGATGGAAACCTTCTATGGCCTTCTACAGGGAAATCTACTTTACTGCCCGCTAATTTAATATCCGTCAGATTTCTTTCTCTCACATCTTGCTGGCAGAGCAAAGCCTCTGTTCAGTCAATACCAGTAAGACACAAAGTAAGAGGACTTTCTAAGTTACAGAGTATCTTCTACTGTACTTTGTACGGGATCTTAGGCGCCCCATCTTACTCGATCCCTTCAGTAGCCCCGTAAGTACTGGGGAAATACTATCACTCCTGTTGCAGAAATGAGGAAACCCATTTAGAAAGAGAAAGTGTTAAGAGGCCCCAGTCTCTACGCTGTGGAGCTAAAGGTGGGTTTCCAGCTTGTGTTCTGTTCAACAGATCGGAGTCTGACTCTCACTTTTCTGGATTTGTTGAAAAAGATAAGACACAAAAACTAAACTCAGTTAAACTAAGAGCAAACGGTCCGACTCCCAAATACTAAGTGCTTCCCACAGGTGGTCCATTTCTACACCTGAGAACGGAACTCCGAGAAGACAGCAATTCGACAATTCAGCCGGAAGAAACGTGGAATCACACGGAGCACAAAGCGTGGCAGCAGGCAGCCGGCGCGCACACCAGCTGGAACGCCCCTGAAGAACCCCGGGTCTGGAACTACTGCCCGCGTGGACGACAGACCACAGACACGTTCCACGGACGCACGACTTACCTACAATTCACTGTTAATTTTCCGCCTTCGAATTCAGAGTTCTTCCCCCACCGTTTGGGCAGCTCTAACACCGTGAGTCCTTTCATTGCTATGAGCGCTATGTGCTGCTGCGCTGGACTCAACAGGACTTGGTAGATTTCAAACAGGGGCGGATTTATGCAAAGCAGCCTCTGGAAATTAAAAACAAACTGGTCAAAGCAGCTCCCGTGTAAACACGCAGCAGGTGCACTTAACGCTGTAGTTCAACCAGGTGGCCTCAATGAGGGCTCACACTTGGGCCCTTAACTGATGGAAAATCTTCAACCGCTGAGACCGGAATGTTCCCTAACACGCTCCAGATTTCCCTACCTTGCAAAGTAACTACTCCGCATCATTTCCCTTAAAAAAAAATTTTTTTAATGTTCATTTTTGGAGAGACAGAATGCAAGTGGGGGAGGGGCAGAGAGAGAGAGGGAGACACCGAATCCGAAGCAGCTCCAGGCTCCGAGCTGTCAGCACAGAGCCCGACGCGGGGCTCGAACCCACGAACCGTGAGATCATGACCTGAGCCGAAGTCGGACGCTTAACCAACTGAGCACCCCCCCCCCAGGCGCCCCTGTTTTTTAATCTTTAAAAGAAGGGAATCCGTTGATTACCAGCAAACACTGCCTCAAAAGCAACGACCGACCGCAGCGTGTCTGGACCCCTCCCGTCCAGCCCGTGTCACAGGCGGTCCGCTACAAGCAGACACGAGCAAAACCCCCTCCCTTCCGACTTGGGGAATGAATGAGCTCATCTTCTAGAAGCGAAAGGAAGGGATTAACGCGGGCTTCCTCCTGCGTGCCGGGCACAAAACCCCCAAACCCCGGTGCTTTCAAGTCGCAACCCCAGCAGGGAGTCGGACTCATTACCCGCCGGGCGCCCCGTCGCGGAGCCGGCTTCTCAGAGCCAGCCCGCCGCCCCGCGCCCTCCGCTCAGCCGCGTCGCGGGGGCCCCCGGCGGCCGCACGCCGCTCCCCTCCGCCCGGGCCCCGGGGGCCGGAGTTGCTCCGACGGCGTCGGCGTCCGCAAGCCTCTGCCGAGGGAACGGATCCGAAAAGGGAGGCCGCCAGAGGCCAAAACCAGGAGAGGACTCAGGACCCGCGCCCGGGCAGCCGCCGCTGAGGGCCGCACCTGGTACTGGGAGAGGGAGGGCTCCTCGCCCGCGCCGCCGAGGCCCCGCAGCCGCACCACCAGGAACGAGCTGTCGTCCGCGTCCCACAGGAAGAGCTCTCCGCCCAGGCCCAACACCAGGTTCCTCGTGAGCGGCGGCGGCGAGGGCGACGGCGAGCACGCCGGCTTCTCCGCTTCGGCCGGGCTCTGGCTCTTCAGCCCCTCGCGGAGCCGCAGGAACACGGCGTGGTTGGGAAGCCAGGACTGCCACGGCTCGCCGTCGCCCGCGGGCCCCTCGGCGGCCGCCATCTTGGCCCAACCGCGCTCGTCGCCCGAGTCGCTCCGCGCGCCGCCGAGCGCAGCCAATCCGCGGGCGGCCCGTCGCGCGTCGGCCAATCACCGAGCAGGCAGCCCGGAAGCACGCGGCCTGCGGGGGCTCGGCGGCTGAGGGAAGGCTGCCCCCGCGCCACAGCCGCGTACTGCGTCCCTGACTGCTGGCCGGACACGTCCTCCTGGCCAAGCCGGCCATCCCTCGGGATGGATCTCCCTCAGCCCACGTAGGGCTGACCTCACAAATGCCACCACTCAGGGACGCCCCAACTGCGTCTCCGGGAGGGGCGGGCCGCGGAGTCGGCCCTTCCCGGAAATCCCCGCGAGCGCGCGCCGCGAGCGCCCGGAAGCTACAAGTCCCCGGCCTCGGCGCGCTCCCGGGGGCGGGACTTCCCGGCGGCGACGCGCGCGGAGACGAGATGGACGAGGCGCGGGGTCACCGGCGCCGCTCGCTCTACCAGGCGGCGGGTTCGCCGTCCTGGAAGGAGGCTTTCCGGCAGGTGGGCGTGGGGCCTAGGGAGCCTCGGCCGTGCTGCCGTCACCCCTACCCCGTCCGGGGAGCCGCCCTCCCGCGTGCCGGGCGGTGGCGGGGGACCTGGAGCGGGGCGGGGCCGGGCCGGGCGCTCCCGGGGCTCCGGACCCTGCGCGCGGGGTCGTGGCGAGCCGGCCGGGTGCCAGCACCCCCTGCCGGCGGTGGTGGGTAGGCGCCAGGGAGGCGCCTGGCTTCTGCCTTCCAGTCCAGACAGGAGTCGAGCAATTCTTGGAAAAGATGCCTAGTTCTGCCCCAGACTCTTCCTTCGGCGCCTCCGTGACGGTCTCAGCAGGGACGTGCCCCTGCCGCACTGTGACCTCTTCTGACGTCAGTGTGGTTCCTATCATGTGACCCGGCTTTCCAGAAAGGGGCAGAGGTCCTGTAGTCTAGGAAAATCACGGGTGCTGGAAATAAGGCTGACAGCGGGGGCTTGTCAACCTGGGCTGTGGACCTTTTGAGGAAGACCGGTCTCTACCGCTGGGGGCGCTGTTGTCCGCACGGTAGAGTGTCGCCCAGCTCCCTGGCCTGCACCTGCTAGATGCGGGTAGCCCCACAATTCAAGCGACAGCAAAAAGTGTCTCCAGGCATTGCCAGATGTGCCACGGGGGCTAAAAATCGTCCTGGGCTGAGACACCGTGTCCAGAAAGGCGGCTGTCGTCGCCATGCCTGGAGCGGCTGGGATGCGGAAGTAACCCTGCGTCCAGTGGTGACACCGTGGGGGCTGAGCTGTTGTGACCCAACCATTAAGGACGCCGGCATTGAAGACAGGCTGCGAAATACTCCAGTCTGGGATAGTAAACAAAACATTGTGATTTCACCTGTCTGCGTGTGGGTAAGGACTGGAGAGGAATACTCAGAAATAACAATAATTCAGGTGATAGCTGAAAGTTCCTGTCTGTACATTTCCTTTAATGTCTTAACACCTAGCCTAAGAATTTTTTAAAAAGTTTATTTTTGAGAGAGCGGGAGTGGAGGAGAGTGAGACAGAGAGAAAAGGAGACACATACTCGGAAGCAGGCTCCAGGCTCCGAGCTGTCAGCACAGAGCCCCATGCGGGCCTTGAACCCACCAACTGGGAGATCATGACCTGAGCTGAAGTCGGACGCTTAACCGACTGAGCCACACAAGTGCCCCCCAAAGTTTTTAATGGACTTGCTCCCCGTCTTTTTCCTTCCAAGGGATGCCTGGAGAGAATGAGGAACAGCCGGGACAGGCTTCTGAAAAGATACCGCCAGGCGGGAGGCAGTGTGCCAGGGAGCGCCCCGAGCACCCTTCTGGTGCAAGAAGTGATGGAAGAAGAGTGGAGCGCGTTGCAGTCGGTGGAGGGCTGTCCAGAGGGCTTGGCTCAGGTCAGGCTGGGGTGTGTGTTTTGGGGGAGGGGCTACAGCACAGGACTGCCCGGTGTCCTCTCTCCCTGTTTGCCCAAGTCCTCTAACCCCACCACCCTCCAGCCCCCACTCAGGGTTCCAACCACCCTTAACCCAGGCTCTTTCGCCTTTAACGTTAGACTCTTCTGGATTCCTGGTTCGCACGTCCCAGACTGCCGGTGTGCTATATCACTGCATCTCAGGAAACTGAACAGAAATTTCACTCCTCAGCTTCCCTCCCTGGAAATTTTGATTCGGCACCACGGGCTAGGATGCTCTCTCCTGGAGAAGGTCCCAGAGCTTTCTGATTTTTTTTTTTTTAAATATTTTATTTCTAGGAGAGAGAGAGAGAGAGAGAGAGAGAGAGCGCGCGTGAGCAGGGGAGGGTCAGAGAGAGAGGGAGTCACAGACTGAAACAGGCTCCAGGCTCTGAGCTGGCAGTCAGCACAGAGCCCGACGAGGGGCTCGAACCCACGAACCGAGAGATCATGACCCAAGTGAAAGTCGGACGCTTAACCGACTAAGCCACCCAGGCGCCCCCAGAGCTTTCTAATCCTAACCTTGGCCAGAGTTGGGGCCTGGGTCCAGATAGGAAGCGGGTTACCATGTGCAGGAAGAGTCCGTAGTTCTGGAACTCTGGCCCTGGTTTTGCTCTCGACTCTTACCCCTCCTGCGCCTCTGAGCTTTGCTTCACCTTCATACCACGAAGAAGGTAGCGTCGTGCAAACAACGTAAGAAAACGTTGGCAAACTGCCCCGGGAACATGCGGGCTGTCTGCAGAGATGGTGCGCTATGGGGCTCCCGGGAGCTCTCAAGCAGCTTTATTCCCGCTTCACAGAGGCCTGAGATGAGGTTTACAGAGGTCAGGAACTTTCCGGCACTTACATGCTTTTGGCAGAACAAATACGTCGTTGCTGCCCTAGAGTGTCTCCCCCCGCATTTGGGGCCATTATTTTGTTCCCGGTGGTTCAGTCATTGACGACTCCTCAGCGTGACCACACTCCCACGTCGTTTCCTCGGTTCCGTGTGGCTTCGAGCCAGCCTCCAAGTAGGAGTCCCGCTGGGACCTGCTGGCCGCTTGGGACCTGAAGCCTCGCACGAGCCCACTTTGTCTTGCAGCTGGAGGAGCCCGTGGACCTGGCCGTGCTCGAGGAGATCCAGCAGGAGCTGGCTGAGCAAGGTGCGTTCTGGGGCCGCCTCCCACCCGCTGCCCTGATGCTGACCGCTTTTCTTTTGGTATTAACGTTTATTTTTGAGAGAAAGAGGAGGGGCAGAGAGAGGGAGACAGAGGAGCTGAAGCGGGCTCCACTCTGATAGCACAAAGCCTGACGCGGGGCTCAAACTGACGAACCATGAGATCGTGACCTGATCCAAAGTTGGATGCTTGGCCGACAGAGCCACCCGGGCGCCCCGCTGACCGCTTTTCAGGGAGAAATCTTGGTTCTTAGCCACCCCGCTCCGCTTCAGGCGGTCTCTGGTCAGAAGGCCCATTTTTAATCAAGTCTCGGCTGCGTGTCCACCCTTCCTCTTGGAAGAGTCTCCCGTGCGCTGAGCCTTGTGCTCAGACCCCACGTTCCATTGCTCTCTCCTGGTGGCCAGCAGACAAGGTAGCCTGGGACGGAGGATAGCGGACAGGGACGCGGCTGGTGGTGCGACCAGAAGCAACATCCGTTGTGTGCGTCGTGGCCCGCGCGACGGTTCCTGTCTGTTAACGGTTCCTGTCTGTTAACCGCGGGCCCTGAGCACAGCTCCGCCCCGAGGGAACTGCATTGGAAAAGGCGGAGGTGGAGGTGGGCTGCGGTTTGCTGACGCCCTGCTCTGCAGCCTGGGCTGTGAGCTCATCGAGAGCAGGGACCAGCTCCGTCCCCTCTGTCCCTCCTCCTACCATGTACCGGGCGGCGTGGCGCGCATGCCACACGGAACGCAGGCCGTGCACGGCACAGACCGGGTGTCCAGACACGAGAACAGCGCGCGCCACACTGAGCAGGGCGGGCCGGGCCCTGTAAGCGTCCGCCCTCTCCAGCTGCCCCGGGGCCCTGACCCCCTACACGCTGCTCCCCGAGCCTCCGGAGGGGCGTCACGTCCTTGTCCCTTGTCCTCCCCACTTCCCCGCTGGTGGTCACGGAGGAGAGTCAGACAGGAGGGGAGGGCCAGCGGGATGGAGACTGACCACGCGGTAAATGTCTTGGGATTGTGATCGGTAGTCTGATTTGGCCTGAATTACTCCCTGGGGGATGAAGCCTTCAGCGCTGACCCTAGCGTGGAGGCGTGGCCGGCGGGGAGGGGTGGGGGAGCTGGGGCGGGGCTGGACGGGAGGGGGCGGGGCGAGCATCCCAGGGGCCCCTTGCCTTGCAGAGCGGAGCATCATCAGCGAGTATGAGAAGAGCTTGCAGTTCGATGAGCGGTGTCTCAGCATCATGCTGGCCGAATGGGAAGCAAACCCCCTCATCTGTCCTGTGTGCACAAAGTAAGAGTTTTCAAAACCTTCCCAGCGTTATCGGTCCCCACCCCCTGCTCAGAGGTGAGTAGTGCTTCCCCCGCCCCAGACGCTGCTTGTCTGGAGGGGTCTGGGGACCCAGGTCTGCTGGCCGCCGACCTCTCTGACCCCAACTCTGCTTCCAGGTCCAACCTGAGGGTATCGAGCGGCGTGGTCACATGTCCGTGTGGCTTGTACCTCTCCTCTCAGGTAAGTTGCACATGCAGATGACATGTGTCCTCTTCCCGCGTGGGCCTGCTTTCTTGAACACTAGAATTCAGAATTTCAGCTTCCATAGCCTTAAAATACGGGAGGAGCCCTCTTACCGGACATGATGGGGACCGATTTTCAAGCTGTTGACTCCGGGGCAGCTGGGATGAGGTCGTAGTTTAACGGTCTTACTTCCTAGGCCCCGGAGTTGACGGAGCAAAAGCTCCGTGCCTGCATCGAGGACAGCGTGAGCGAGCACAGCGCGCACTGTCCCCACACGCCTGAGTTTTCGGCCACCGGGGGGATGGGAGAAAAGCCCGCTCTTCTCATGAGCTGCCCGGTAAGCCTGCTGCGGCCGCCGGCGAGAGCGGCCCGGTCGAGGGTCTCTTCCCTCGCTGGTGGACGTCCGGCTCAGAGACACGCAGATGTTTAGGCTTTTGTTCCTTTTAAATTCTTCTTTGTTCCTTTTAAATTCTTGTTGTTTTGAACCGGCCGGGTGTTGAAAAGTGGTTTGTTCCGTGAGGAAGGTACTTGTCCAGGAAGATGAAACTACCAGAAAGGAGGGGGCGGAGGCCGCGGGAGGGGGCGCCTGGCTCCGGCAGCGGATTACGTCCCACTCACGGGACCCAGAGAGGCCGGCGCGTGCCCGCCGTGCAGGAGGGGGCAGGACGGCGTCGGGTCGCCGAGGAGACAGGGCCTGTGAGGGGGCTGCGCGGTGGGGAGGGAGGCGGCAGTGCCAAGGGCTCTGTCTGGCCGGGTGGGCGTGTCCCCACTGCTGGGGACCGGACGCAGACTCCCGTCAGTTAGCGGTCCAGCCAGCTGCCCCACCAGGGAGCAGGGACACCGGCGCTGGGGTCCCGGGGGCCGTGGCTCCAGCGTCCCGGCTGGGGGGGGGGGTGCCTTCCCGCAGGCGGTGTGGGGAGGACTGGGGTGAGTGGGAGGCCCGCGCCGGGTGTCTCCAGGGCTCCTGTGCCCGCTGTGTCCCACGTGCCCGTGGCTCCGCCCAGTGACTCGAGGCAGGTTTGCCCGCGACCACAGGGCACCGCAGGGCCGTTGTCCCCACAGCAAGTCCCGCTGTCCTGGGGCCCCGCTGCGCCGGATGCCGCGCCCCTGCCACGGCGCCGCTCGTCGGTCCCGGAAGGTGACATCACAGCCTTCCTGCCCTCCCGGCCCCCGCACGCAGGCAGGGGCCTCATGTGTCCGGAGAAAGTAGAGGCTGAGGTGGGTGAGGGAGTTGAACGGTGCAGGTGCGGCGGATTCGGCTCCTGCCTCCTCGTGAGAGGGATGAGTGTGAGCCCGGGCCGTGGGGCGTGGGGGCGTGAGCCCGGGGCCGTGGGGCATGGGGGCGTGAGCCCGGGGCCGTGGGGCGTGGGAGCGTGAGCCCAGGGCGTGGGCCGTGGGAGCGTGAGCCCGGGGCCATGGGCCGAGGGAGTGGCAGGCGATGGGTTGCCCGGGTGCTGAGCGCCTAGCGGCACCACAGCACATGGCCCTTGTGGGCCCCAGTCCATGGGGTCCACTCCTCTGACTGACGGGGCCCCAAAACTGGGCAGAGTGAAGCCGGGGGCGGGGGGGGCACAGCTGGCTCCCTGTGGGCAGAGACCACGGCAGGCCCAGGGCGGGGGGACGGAAGCACAATCAAGTTCAAGTCCCTGGAGCGCGGGAGCTCCGGTCACCAGGCCTCTGGCTTCACATAAGGGGGAGTCCAGGACCGTGGGGGCTGGCTGCAGGGGTTCTCTGCCCAGGCAGGGGGCGCGATACAGCTGCAGGTGTGGGCTACGGAACGTCACGTGCGGCCACGAGGATGTGGGAGGCTGGAGACGTGCGAGCGGTCCAGGCCGGTCACGGGCTAGAGGGTGCCAGACCCCAGGAAGCCAGGCGTATCCCCTGGGGAAGCCGTCGGGGACTCCGTGGCATGGTGGCCAGTGAGCCATCAGGGAGCTAGGGGCCTGTTCCCGCTCCAGTACTGACTGGGCCTCAAGTTGGGGTTCTGCCTGGGTGGGGGGACATGCGGGGGCTGTACCCCCCTGCGGCACATGCCTGTTTCAGGCCTGGGGTCAGTGGAAGGAGCCTCCTCTCTCTGCTCAGCCACAAAAGATACCAGCCATCAGAAGCTTGAATACCGTCTCTGGTGGCCCCGTCCGAAGGGGGAGGGTGTGAGTCTGTCTCTAGGGTCTGATCTGAGCCCGAGGCGTCCACACTGTGGCTTGTGGCCAAGGCAGTCTTCCTGGGGCTGTGGGAGGGGGTCCCTGGTACAGCCCCAGAGCCAGCTCTCCATGCTGGCCCCCAACCCCCACGCAGCAGAGGTCACTACAATTAGTCCTGAACCACGTCCTGAGATGATGTTCGTGACTCTGCCTTTCTGTTGAAATTCCAGGCTTGTGACACTTGGACGGTGATCGTCTAGAACCTGCCTGGGCACCTCGTTCTGGGGTGGAGCCTGCTCACTCCGTGTGACAAAGGGACTTGTAAATACAGACCTTTAATTTATAACTTATTTTGTATTAAAAACTTTCAAACGTCTCTGCTCTTGGGTGTTCTGTGATGCAGGCTAAGGAAGGAACAGAAAAGACGGAGCACCTTGGAGGAATTAAACCAATTTTATTGTCCGTCATTACGTTATACAAAATTCCGGGAGCGACAGTCTACTGAAGAAATAAACAAATAGTAAACGAGAGGCCAACAGAAATAATTTAAATCTGAATTATCTTCCATGATCTCAGGAGGAAAACCACCGGCGAGCGCGCGTGTCCGGCTGCAGCGCGGGCTCGTCCCTGGCCGAAGCCGGCCGTAAAGTAACGTGCTCACCGTCCCGTCCCGTCTACTGGCTCTTGACAAAACCCTTCAGGTCCTCGAGAAACGTGATGTACTCCTGGTGCTCCAGGGCCGTGCTGAGCTCCACCAGCTCGTCGGCGAAGGTGTTGTCCACGCCCCGGTCGGCCAGGAAGTCCATCAGGTGGTCGTACAAGGCCTGGAGGGAGAAACCCCACTCGCTGCGGCCCCGGGACCCGGGCACGCCCACCGCCCCGAGCACTCACCCAGTCCAGGGAGCACTCACCCAGTCCAGGGAGTCCGTGTTGAGCGTGTAATTCGTGTCCTTCCACTCAGCCTCGCCAACCGACTGAAAGCTCACTTCTCTGATGGCGAAGATGTCACTCTCGTCTTCCTCTTCCTGTCCCACCTGAGAGGAGACGGGGTTTGGGCAACAGAAGGGGTTCGCGAGACAAACCAGACTATTAGCTTGAAAGTCACCAGATTTTACCCCCCCCCCCGCCCCCCCCCCCCCCCGCCTCCTCCCCTGCCCGCGGGCCTCTGAATGGGCCCTCCTCGTCCCCTACGCACCTCATCTTCCGGGTAGTGACAGTCCAGAACCAGGGCCTTCTTGCCGCCGTTCTTTATAACTTCCACCACGAAGTTGGGAGTGGACGTCAGTTCAGGCTGGGGAAGCGAGAACGAGTCAGGGCGCGCCCTGCCAGCAGGGGGTGCGTGCCTGGACCCCAGAGCTCACCGCAGGGCCCTGATGGCCACGGCTGGGTGGGCCGTCAGCCGCTTCTAAACACTACGCGCCCGTGCTCGTGCAGAAGAGCCTGGAATCTTTAGCAGCACAGAGGCCCCGCACCAGCTTGTTCAGCTGCGCTAACCAGTCCCGGGCCGATCTTTCTAGAGTCACACGCGAGGTCTTCGAGGGCAGAGGATCACATGGCTAACGGGGCCTCACGCTGTGCGCGGAACTTACCAGGCTTAGAATTAAATCTGAATTCCGGTGCCAGCTAAGTTAGCGCGCCTCGTCTCCCTGGACAGGTTTTCCACCCACAGGCTGCGAAGCCGCCCCGTCCCCCCAACCTCCCTCCCTCCCTCCCGCTGACCGTTTGGGGATCTTCCTGTTTGGGCCCAGAACCGAGGCCGGTGCATCCGGCTAACTGGCCGTCCAGAAGGCTGAAGCACCGGCCCGGACAGGAGCCGTCCAGGATCGGGGGACCGTGGCCGGGGTGGCGGAGACAGACACACACCAGGGGGGCTGTAATCTGCGTCGGGAACCTGGGGGACCCTGTGGCACACACAGCCTCCTGAGAGGTCTGAGGACTGGGGTGCCAAGGTGTCAGGCGCCCAAATCTCTCATGTCCCAGCTTTGCTACCTGGTTCAGTGGCTTGTGTCTACTGCCAGCCTGGGACGCGACCCCCGATCATGGGAAGGAGGCTTCAGACCAGTTCGTTTCCTTCCCGTTAAGAGAACACAGGCCGAACTGTAAGCCTGGGGGCCGGGGGGGCTCACGGCGCTGCTACGCTGGCCAGAGACCGCTGCTCGGGGAGCAGAGCTCCGAGGACGGGGCCCCTGCGTCCCCCCACGTCCCTTCCCGGGCAGCGCGCTGGGAAGGGCCCTGGAATGGCTGTCGGCGCTCAGACCGCGGCTGAGACCCTGCTCACCTCCTGCTCTTCCACCTTCTGTCCCTGCGGGGGGGGCTCCTCCTCGTTCTCAAACGTGGGTGGGATGCTGTTGTTGATGTTGAACGTCACCGTGATCCTACCGGGGCGAGAGAAAACCCGAAGCGCTGTGGTTTTCTCTCAGTATTCAATGCATAAAGAAGTTCCCAGAAGTTCTCGAGGTTCCAAAAGAGGCTACAGTTGAAAATGCTGATTGAAACAATGTCTCTAACGCGACTGACTTGACAGAATTACCTGCGGCAGGAGTATCCGAGGCCCCAAGACGGACTTAGCGGGTGTGACTGAGCCCACCACGCACGGCAGCTGGAAGTCAACTGATGCGCCCCGACTGGCCCCACTTTATCTCCACCAGATCTGGTCCTGGGTGGGAGGCAAGGCCGGCGCCCGGGGCTCCCTGCCAACCGCGCCCACCGGTCATCTCCGTGCCTATCTAGCCCACCCTGGCCTTGCCCGGGGCGCCCTCCAGTGGCCGAGAGGGAGTAAGTGCTGGGAGGGCAGAGAAGCCACGGGTTGGGGGGGTGAGGAGGGACGGGGCAGCCTCAGGCTAAGGGAAGAGAGGCCTCAGGATGAACTGGAACAAAGATCAACTCTTCAAAACAGCTGTGGGGCCGCCTGGGGGGCTCCGCGGGTTAAGCGTCTGACTATTTCAGCTCCGGTCACGTTCTCCGGTGTCCCTGAGTTGAGACTTCCCCCACTGCCCGTCGGGCTCCGTGCTGACAGCTCGAGCCTGGAGCCTGCTCCAAAGTCTGTCTCCCTCTCTCTGCCCCTCCCCTGTCTAAAGGCTCAGTTCTCTCTCTTTCTCAAGATAAATAAACTTTAAAAAAAAAAAAAAAAAGTAGTGGAAGTTTCACTATCAGAAAGCAGGCCTGAGACACCCAGACAACTTCAAGGTGCGAGAATCCTCGCCTGACAGACCACACCCGAGCCGCACCAGGAAGCCCCTTCCCTGCGGCCCGGCCGGGCAGACGGTCAGCCCCAGGACCTGCCTAACCTGCAGCGGCGCTGACCGAGCCGGGCTCCCGGCACAGAAACGCCTTCATTCACGAGGACTTGACGCAGAACAACCCAGAATTGCCTACGACTCGCCCCGGGAAAACGGTTTCCTCAGCGAAGTCGCAGAGCACACCCCACTGCGGGGACAGGACGCCCTCTAGGCAAAAACCCCGAGAATGAGAACCTTCCTTTACAGCACACAGAGTGGACTCACGACAGGGGGGTCGTAACAGCAGAACCAGGTGAGAGCCCCCACCGCCCTGGTGGCCACACTCTCTACGCGGTACCCCGTCCTACACGCAGGCCACAAAGTTCACGTTTAGGGAGTGGGTCCTGGTTCCGCAGCCAGAGCCGGCGGTGGAGCCGGTCAGCACGCTCCGCGGGGGGGCGGCAGTCTGTGCACCCAGCCTCAGCCGGAGGGACAGCCGGCCTCCCGAGCCTCCACCAGCCTTCCGCTGCGCACACCGTGCTGCTCCCTTACTGTCTCATGAACACAGCAGATCTGCGTGCAGGGACCGTGTCGCCGGGAGGGCACACGTGCGACCCCGGGTTCACTCAGGGACACCCCCCCCCCCGGCCCGCAGGCCGCCTGCACTTACCTCTCTCCAGCCACCTTCCGCACTAATTTGGCTTCTGTCCCGTTCACTTCGAGCTCCCAGCCCCCAGACATCTTGGGGAGGGACCCATGCTTCTGGATCTTCTTTTCTTCCTTAATCTCATCGTTCAGGAACTCGACGAACGCTTTGTCTCCTAAAATAACAATCTGTTAAGACGCAGCAAAAGACCCAGTCCGGCTAAAACCTATCCGCCACCTGGGGTTACTGCAGCCTGAAGCCTGGACCTGGGACCGTTTGATGCGTGTGCCATCAACCAGGCTCTACCAACAGGGTCCAATTCCCACCCACGATGCCTCAGTTTCTCCATCTGTAAAAATGCTGGAAACACTAAATCAGGAAGCTGAGCTCACCTCTGGGAAAACGGTTTCCAACAGTGACCTCATACCCACGCTTGACCACGCCTGGAACCCCCCACACCCGGGATTCCCAAGGGTCCTCTGAGACTCAGATAAAGCCCCTCCCAGAGCTTAGTCGCATCTTTCAACAAAGGGAAACACCCGCGGGCGGAGGAACACGGGTGAGGGCGGTGGACCGGGTGCCCGGGGCTCCCAGCCAGCCTACGGGAACCTGCCACCGCCCCGAGCCAGACCACCCCCCCCCCGCCGTCCTGACCCCAGACCTTGCCCCTTGCCCCCCGCCAACGACGGCCCTAGGATCCCCGACTCCCCGCCCCGGTCCTTNCGACGGCCCTAGGATCCCCGACTCCCCGCCCCGGTCCTTGACCCTTGACCCCTTAGCCCCGCCCATGGACCCCTCGAACCCCACCCCCTTGTCACTGGTCCCCGGCGTCGACCCCCCGACCCTCTCCGACTGACCCCCCCAGCCCTGACCCCCGACCCCGAGGCCCGACTCCTCCACCCGATTCCCGACCCCCTAATCCCCGACCCCGAGCCCCCTGACCCACCCAGCCCTGACCCTCGACCCGAGCCCCGACGCCGAGCCTCACCCTGGGTGTGCAGCGCGCCGCAGCCGCAGCTGCAGGGCACGCGGGGGAGCAGGAGGCCGGCGCGCACTCGGAACAGCCCGAAGGACCGCACGCACGGCCGCGGCGCGGGCTGCAGCAGAGGCCGGGCCGGCGGGGCGGGCGCGGCGCGGAGCCCGGCGACGGCGGAGCCCAGCGCGCGGGGCACGCGACGCAGCAGAGGCAGCATCGCGGCGGCGGACACGTGCGGCGGCGAAGGACGACCCGGGCCGAGATCCCCTAACACTCTCCGCCGGAAGTCCCGCCCCCGCCGGGAGCGCTTCCGCGCCGGCGCATTGCGGGCCCCGGCGCAGGGCTGCGCGGCGCCCCCTGCTGGGGGCCTCCGGTGCGGCCCGCGGGCCTGGGGCCTCGAGCTGCGCGCGCTCTGGCCGGCGGGGGCGCCGCTCGGGGTCGCCTGCTCTGTGCGCCCGACCTCCAGCCGCCGGGGCTCCGAGGTCAGCGCGGCCGCGCGGACTTCATCTTCCCGCGGGACCCGCAGCTCCGCTCAGCCCGGCGGGCGGCTCAGCTCCAGGGCGCGCCCTCTGAATTCCTGCGACACCCCCCAGAGCCTGCACCCCCTCCCCAGCGTACAGCACCCCCCGGGGGCCCCCTTCCCCAGCGCGCACCTCCCTCCTCCGAGTGCACCCCCTTCGCGCCCTCCCCTCCCCCCGAGTGAACCTCCCTCGGCGAGCGCCACCCCCTCAGCGTGTTTCCTCTCGGCCCACACCCCTTCCCCGGCATCGCCCCTGCGGGCAGCCCCCTCCTCGGGCACGCACAGCCCTGTCGGCCTGCACCTCCGGCGAGCGCGCTACCCTGGCCGCGCGCCCCACGCCACCCCACCCCGCCCCGCGCGCGCCCCGTTCCGAGGAGCGGGAGCGGGGGGCTCAGAAAACGGGGGCTCTCAAGACCTGAGAGGGCACCTCAGCCCCGACCACGCTCGTGATCCGGGACCCACGTGCCCAAGCCCCTGCTAGCGGGGCTTCCTAGGCGGCGTCAGAACCGCGAAGACCTGCAGACCCTCCGTGGATCAGCTACGTGTGCAGCCTGGCTCGTCAGAGATGATGGGCGGCCCCGCCCCCGGCCCCGGGTGCCGCCTTGTCCCCCACGGGAAAGTGTCCTCTGCTGCAGTGTCACCGCAGAGTGCCCGCCGGGGAGGAGCTCGGGCTTTTCAACCCCGTGCCCACACCTCGTGCCCACACCCCGTGCCCACACCTCGTGCCCACACCCCCGGTGCCCACACCTCATGCCCACACCCCCTGTGCCCACACCTCGTGCCCACACACCCCGTGCCCACACCCCCGTGCCCACACCCCGTGCCCACACCTCATGCCCACACCTCATGCCCACACCCCCCGTGCCCAC